TCTGATTCCCTGTTACAGACAGTGTGAGATCAATCCTTCTTCTAAGAGTGTATGGGGAGGAAGAAGAAAGTTGAGAGAGTTCCCATTTGATGACTTTTTCTTTCTCTGTGAGTTAGAACATAAAGCTTTCTGTTTTAGGAGATGTGAGTTCCATGGCAAAAGGAAGATGAGAGAAAAGATTTAAAATAATTATATTTGCTAATGGAAGATTTGACTTGATCCTTGTTACCTATTTTATAGTTCCATGTGTGACATTAAGCCCATTTAAAGTGGAGATGATATTCACAATGAGGTACATTTTTAATTCTTGTTTAATATTTAGTTTTTGTATTAAGAACATTTAGTTAGTTGAATATTTTCCTTTTTAAAAATTTTAAAATTTTATTGTAAAGGTGACATACAGAGGGGTTACAGTTACATAAGTCAGGCAATGAGTACATTTCCTTTTGAACAGTGTCATCGCTACCTCATTCTCTCCCAGTGTTTCCCTTCCCAATTTCCCTTCCCTTCAAGTTGTATAGCTCATTTCCAACATAGTGTCTAGTGGGTTTCGCTGTGAATTGGTTCACCCTTTGTCCCACTGTGTCTGTGCCTCCATTTCTCCTCCCTAAGTAAGATAAACTTATATACAAGTCAAAAAGTAGAGAAATAAAAACAGCAACAGAAAAGAATAAATCAAAGAAAAAAGGAAAGGCAAAAACCCCACAAACAAAATATGCTTCCATTTCTTGGGGTTCGTTTTTATAAGCATCATTTTATATGCTCATCTGCAAATAGCTATTGAGCCTTTGTGATCCTCTCCTAAGAATATCCTCCTTTGTTCTCACTGTGCAAATGTTTAGACTACTGTTTAACTCATCATGTCCAAGTGTAATTATTTGTCTTTTATTATCTATTGGGTTTATTTGTAGATTTATAGGCGTATTCTTTGGTTACAAATAGTCTTTTCCTTTTTGATGCTACTGGGGTTGAACTTGGGGGCACTGAACTTGCTAAGCAGGTGTTCTACCACTTGAGCCAAGCACCTGGCCCTACGTTTTGCTGATTATTTTGGAAATGAAATCTTTTTTTTATTATTTTAAGTAGTTGTACAAATGAATTGCCATTTAACAAACTAGCTTATGAATACTTTTTGATCAATATCAGCCCTTTCAACATTCTCACACATTCTTCTCATATCCACTCCTCTCATTCTTCTTAATTTTGTAGAATATACATTGACTTCTTGACTGTATTCTCCCTCTCTTCACCTCTTCATTTGTCTACCCCTTGCCGGTTGATCCCACCTCACTCCCTTTCAAGTACCTGATTTCCTGGTGTTTATTTTGCTGAACTTTGACTTTGCCTTTCTAAGGAATTACACTATTTGAGATCTCCCTTGAATCTACTATATTTCAGTTAATACACTTGTATATACTTGTATACCACCCAGTGTATTTACTTACAAGTTTATAAGCTAAACACAGCTTATACATATAAGGGAAAACATGCAGAAGATGGAGTTTTGTGGACTCTTTTCCAGGCTCCAGCAGATCTTCCCTTCTGAGCAGCTAAGATTACAAGTGTGAGCCATGGGTGCCTGACTACCTATATTCATTGTAGCTGATGAAGAAGTCCCAGGTCAATATCAAAAGATATTATTAATAAAGTAGTAGAGGTAGTCACTTATTACATAGCAAAAAATTCTAGATTCAGTTAACATTTGTTTCCATTTGCTAGTCAATTACCAGCTGTCAGAACATATTAAATATTGTAAATTTGAGTCAGAAGCTGTCACCCCTAAGGGTATTAGCTATTCCAAATTATAGATAGTGTTTTGTCTTGTGGAAAGATGGTATTAATCCTCCTCACATTTGTCTTCATGATGGTATAAAATTACCAATAGATGCATTGCTGAATGAAGTAAATCAATGTAGACACCGTAAATGAAAGCAGACAGTCAGAAGTCATGAATATTTCCATTCTTGTTAACAGGTTTCTCATTGCTTCTAGACAGAATGCAAGAACGACAACCAACTTTCAAAGCTTTTCACTCCTTAGTCTTAAAAATGAAGTTTCTTGTTACTATTACTAGAAAACTTTTATGGAATATATGTTAAGTGCAAGAGGCTGTGTTCACAGCTTTGTATCAATTACTTCTTTTAATCTTTATGGCAAATGTGAGGTTGCTGGTTCAAGTAGTTCATATACTTCCACATCTCATGTCTTGTAATGAGGAAACAAAATCTTCAAAGAGCTTGACTAACTTGTTGCCCTAAATGGCAGGACCTGGACTCAAACCCTGGGGGGATGTGAGGAACATAATGCACACACACACACACACACACTTTTTTCTGGGTTGGGGAGTATTGGGGGTTGAAGTTGGGGCTGTGGACTTGCTAAGCAGGCACCCTACCACGTGAGCTATGCCCTAGTCCTCTTTGCTTCAGCTTACTTTTTAGTTAAAGACTTGTGCTTTTGCCCAGACTGGCCTCAAATCACAAGCCTCCCATCTCCCCTTCCTGCATAGCTGAGATAATAAGTATGAGCTGGCTCGAAGCAACTTAATTCTGCAATCTTTTCTATTATCCAGTTCTCTCCGCTAATGAATGTTTTTTGTGCTTATTTGGTGAATCAGTTAGGAATTTAGTTAGTGCAATTAACTCCAACCCAACATATAATAGTTCCTAAATTGCAGTTTATATTTTCTCACTTTATGGAAAGGATAAGCTACTCACATTGGTTTAGTGCTTCAGCAGAGCCATGACTAATGATTGATTGCTTCCTTGTCCTTTTCCCTAATGACAACAAAAACAACTGCTTGAATTTCAAGCATTGAATCCACCACATTCAGGGAACAAGAAAGGAGAGAGTTGGCACTAGCCATAACTGTAATTTATCATAAAAGCAAAAATCCTCCCCAAGAAAAAAAGTTTCATACTGCCACTCTTTTCAGCAAGGATGGAAAAGAGCAAGGGAGAGGGGAGCTAAGAATGACTGGTGGACCAGGCTTGGGTCAAAGTTGTTGAATCCAAAGCATGTGGGAACTTTTCACATCCTCCTTTATTTGTCCTGGGCTTGAACTCAGGTCCTGGGCACCATCCCTGAGCTTCTTTTTGCACAAAGCTAGCACTCTACCACTTGAGCCACAGCACCACTTCCAGCTTTTTTTGTTTATGTGGTACTAGTGAATCAAACCCAGGGCTTCATGCATGTTAGGCAAGCAATCTACCACTGAGCCACATTCCCAGCCCATTACTTATTTCTTTCTTGAGTGAATGGAGTGGGTGAGAAAGCTGATACACTGTATGTAGTGTTTTTTCTTGCCTTATTCGCTAGATGTGTTCCTAGATGGAAGGAGAAACTTGTGGTTCCACAAATTGAGTCAGGGCTCATTGGACATAAGAAACAGAAACTAGCCAGACACTATCATGACTCATGCCTATAATCCTAGCTACTCAGGAGGCTGAGATCTGAGGATATGGTTGTGAGCCTCACAACCAATTTAATATTTTTTTAATTTTAAAAAATAGAAACAGAAACTAACACGCAGCTAACTGAAAAAAATGGATGGCGAATTTTAGTCATATATCCAACAAGTATTTATCAAGCACACATTATATTCTAAGTACTCTTACAGACTTTAAGCTCTTTCAGTGAACAATTTTTGTGTATGTGTGCCAGGCCTGGAACTTGAACTCAGAGTTTAGGGGCTGTCCTCGGATTTTGTGCTCAAGACTAGCATTTTGCCACTTGAGCCACAGCTCAACTTTCAGCTTTTTTGGTGGTTAATTGGACATAAGTCTTACAGGCAGGCTTTTAACCATTATCCTCAGAGCTCAGCCTCCTGATTAGCTAGGATTATAGGCTTGAGCCACTGAGCACCTGGTGCAGAATGTATGTATGTATGTATGTATTCATTCATTCATTCGGGCTTGAACTCTGGGCCTGGGCATGTCTCTGAGTTCTTCAGCTCAAAGCGAACGCTCTACCACTTGAGCCACAGTGCCACTTCCAGTTTTCTGGTGGTTAATTGGAGATAAGAGTCTCACAGACTTTCCTGCCTGGTCTGGCTTTGAACTGCAATCCTCAGATCTCAGCCTTCTGAGTAGCTAGGATTACATGTATGAGCCACTGGTACCCAGCTCAGAATACTTTTTTAAGTATTAGGGATTCAAGAAAGAAAACAACAACAACAACAAAAAAAAACCAACCAAGACTAAAATCAAAGAGGAGTACAGCAGAGCATCAGGAGAAACTACACGAGATGCAAACAGCCTCTCTGAGCATCTCTCCTTCATTCTGGTCCATCTATTTTCTCTTAGTTCTTACCGTAGTACGTAGAACAAGGTGAGCCCATAGAAGCCCAAGTTCTCATCTTCTCTTTAAGCCAACAGTGCAGGTTGAAACACAGACTCCCTTAGTCCCTATTTCAGAAGCCTAAGGAAAAGAATTCTAATTCCCCCCAGAATGCCAGGGGCAATCTTATCCCTGTGCGCGAGACATGGAATTGCAGGGGCATTTGAGGGGGACAGACAAGCAAATGAGAAGAGTGTCTACCTTGCCAAGTTCTCTGTGGCTGTGAGGTCTTTTCCTGACTCTGTCCATCATCCATGACAGGGCTGACCGCTGAGGCTCCACAGGCTTCAGCCTAACTCTGCCTTGAAGATCACATGTGTTTTGAGCTTTGTAAGAATTGGCTGGTCAGGGCTGATTCTAGCATTCTGAATCTCCTTTGTGCTTTCCACGTAGTTCTCACCTTGTTTCAAACCAAGTCCTTAGGAGCAGACACTGCCACTGATTTGATTCAGTTTGGTTCCAAAGTATGTATTTTAGTGTTGTGTTAAGATACTCTTTTATGATTGATCTAAACCAGTGAGATATGGTTGTTAATGATTAAAAAACAAAACAAAACCTACTTCTCTTTGTTTCAAACCCATGGGTGCTTTTCCACTCAGGGCTAAACTGAATTGCTGACCTGCCACTGATCTGTGGTTTTTTGGTTTGTTTTTTCTCTACAGGCTGTGGATTCCCCTCCACTGGGAAGAAGCTGGGCAGGCTGGGGCTCCTGGGGCAAATCTCTGCTCTCATCCGCATCTGCCACAGTAGGTAAGCACTGGAATGAAAGGCTTTATTGGAATAAAGTTCTGAAGCCTAACAGGGTGTGACATGTTGACTCATTCATCTGAGGCTCAAAGTTGCCTTCAACAGGTTGGTGCCACTAGGATTGACCCCCACAGGAGGATGAGGCCAGTGTTTCTGCGTAGCTGGCTCTTGTGCTTTGAAGGAGTAATCTTTCGGAGGTCCTTGGGGGTGGGGTTAACAGAACTCAATTCCTTTCCATTACAGGACAGAGGTCTCCATTTCCTTGCTTATTGATCAGTGGTCACTCTCAATTACAGAACTGTTCTCAGATACTTCATCAAAGCCAACAGGAAAATCTTTCTCATACATCATGTTTCTCCTTTGGTTAGGGCCTAGTATTTTATCAAAGCTTACCTGATATGTTCAAGACCACAGAGGCTGAACTCTCTTTTTTTTCTTCGTGGGGTAGGGGGGCAAGGGAGAGTGGTCCTGGGGCTTGAACTCAGTCCCTGAGCTTCTTTTGCTCAAGGCAAGCACTCTACCACTTGAGGCACAGCACCACTTCTGGCTTTTTATGAGTAGTTTATTGGAGACATTGGAGTCTCACCGACTTTCCTGCCCAGGCTAGCTTTAAACCACCATCCTCAGATCTCAGTCTCCTAAATAGCTAGGATTACAGGCCACTGGTACCTGGCTGAGCTCTATTTTTTTTTGGGGGGGGACAGTAACTCAAATTCAATTGATTATGAACTTCAATTACATCTGAAATGTATGCCTTTGGGAGATCCTGTAACCCTGTCACAGCAGTGAAATCCTATTATATACCTAGTACTACATACCCTTCCAAAAGGAAGGGGATCCTATAGGATGGATATATACACCTGAAGACAAAGATCTTATCTCCTCAATACTGCCTACCACACATCTCTATTCTCTTGGAAATCCTAGTCTGCTCTACCACCAGTTCTAGAAACTTCATCTTTTTTTTATAGCTCTGCCAACATGCTAGAATTGTGAAAAAGGAGTAGATTTTGAATTTCCTATTGTACTCAAAATGGCAAAGAATACTTGAGGAAGATCATAGGAACTTTGAAATATACTTATGCTAAGAATCCCTGTGATTTAACTTGGGAAAATCAGATCCTGAATTTATTTACCACTATGCGTCATCAGTACCCCAAAGAGTACAGTAGAAACACAGCTGGATGCCATTCTTAAATTGCAAAGGCATATTTAGTAGACTTCATGTGTTATGACTTTGCATGATAACAGTAGTCAAAATAATAGCAATATGCACTCTAAAGCTAGCTACGTATCTTTGTGGACCTGATATAGGAATGAAGCCATGTATTATAAGAAGAGATATCCTTCATGGAATCCAAAGCTGGAAACAGACAAAATGTCTGGGAGTCTGACTCCCAGAAGGTAACAGGGAATCACTGCCTGAAATAGGGGTTGGAATGAGGTCAATCATCTGTGAAGAGAAATGTTAGGAAGTTACCAGTGCCATCCTTGATTGTCATCTATGTTGAGCTGCTACCTTGATGTTGGAAAAGCTAGGGACAATTTTCATTACATTCAGACAGCTCGTTGATCCCAGAGCTTTGCAGTATTAACAGTTTCTCATCACAGGGCAAAGAGACTTATTGGAAAACAGTACTCACAACAGTAGACAAGCTCTTGAGGGTTTATAAATTGCCTGTGGAAAGTAAAGAAAGAAAATAAGCACACGTTCAATTGCAATTGATTTCCACTCAGAAACCTTATGTTGCCCCCAGGGTAATTCCAGTTGCAAGACAGGAGTGCACAACACATCGTCTTTTAACAAAACACAAAGCTGTCAATGGAGCACTAAAAATAGGAGCCAAAACTTCTTACAATTGTTAAAAAAAACCAGCAATCACAATAGTTGGAGCTATTTAGAGTTGGCAGGAGAGTAATTGGAAAATGAGAACATCTGAAAGGTGGTCCTGCCTTGGAATGAGCAGTGTTCCATGAGTTATAAGCCTGGGACCTGGTTGTAAGAGCTACTAATTTGTCATCACCAGCGATGGTCACTACCTAGCTATACCGTGCACTAACCCTCTGAGTGACTCAGATTGTTTCTTTGGAAAAGTTTGCATTGAGAAATTTTGAAATCTCCTTCAACTTCTAGAAATGATGATTCTATAGTCTATGGCTACATAGAAAAAGAAATAGATACTCGTAACCATTCTGCCAGATAGAAAAAAAAATGCAAAAGGTTGATTGGTCCTTCTGTGTTTCCTGTTTTCTCTTTTCACCAAATATGTTGACCTCAAGGTAAGGGGAAAATGAGAAGTGACCTTTCTAGAACATATATGGTATTTCTCAGCCAGCAGTTGCCAAACTGGTCTTCACTCTTGTTTTTAGCCCATCCTAAGATCTGATCTTCTACCATCTAGGCCTTTCCATGAGTTCATAAAATGCAATAAAAATCTGCATTATTCCAGATAGACACCAGTGTGGGAAATGTCAAAAATACAGAAAAAATTTTAAAAAAACTTGATGACAATTTCAAAATGATGCTGTGTGCCAGCTATGTCCACTCAAGCATCTTGCATGCTTCGCTTACACTTACATTTATTGCTAAGCTATGTGGTAGACGAATAATAAAATTAAAGTTGATCATGCTGAAACACATACAAGTGTTCCAAAGTCAAACCCTGGGAGTAAAACAGAGCAGTTTATTTCTAGATACAACCAAAGGCTTAAATGTTTATTTGAGATGGTTCTTTTGACATTTTTATGAATCTAAACATCTCATGCAAGAGGACTTGAGGTTGGAGATATGAAATATATCTTATTATACATTCTTTCAAAATACCATTCCTCCCCATTCCCATTATCTCCTAAGCTAGACATTTTTTTTCTTTCTGCACATTTCAATGAAACTTTCTACCAGGTCCTGTCAAAAGTGATGACAGTGTTTATTACAAAGAATAGCTAACTTGTCAAAATAGCACTGCCGTGAAAACTCTGGTGTGTGAATCACTCCCAGTAGCTCATGGGTTCATTTTGGAAGGCAACATTGCTTAACAATGGAATGATTCTCAAAAATCATCAGTACAAAAGCTAACAGGACTGGTACTTGGAATTTGGCCATAATGCTTTGCAATCTATACATAGGCCTAGGGTTAATGAATTTCTGCTGGGCTATCATCCAAGTATCATCAGTTCAGTAGCTTTTGCTGTTAACTCACTGTGTGGGTCGTGAGCATCACGGCAAAGTAGAAGCCATCTATGGAAAGGAACAACTTTTACAACAGGAAGGTGCCTGGCTCCTTTTATTCACCGCTTCATAGTTTGTTTTAGTTAATTTTGACAGCCTCAGCTACATATTTTCCTAAACAGCTGCCCTCTACAACGTGTGTGTGTGTGTGTGTGTGTGTGTGTGTGTGTGTGTGTGTGTGAGAATTCAGTACTAGGGCTTGGACTCTGCGCCTGGGCACTGCCCCTTAGCTCTTTCACTTAAGACTGGTGTTACACCTCTTGAGTCACAGCTCCAAATGCAGCTTTTTAGTTGCAAACTGGATATAAGAGTCACATGAACTTTTCTGCTCAGGCTGGCTTTGAACCAAAATCCTCAGGTCTCAGCCTCCTGAGTAAGTAGGATTACAGGCGTGAGCCACTGGCACCCAGCTGCTCTCCACATTTTTCTTTAATTTTTAAGTTTTATGTTGAGCATTTGTACAAAGAGATTTCAATCCAACACATCAGATTATAAGTAGAATGCATCTTGATCAATGTCAACCCTTACATTGCTCTCCCCCATCTTTCCCAATACAACTTTTTATTTATTTATTTTTTGGGGTCTGGTTGTGGGCCTGAACTCTGGGCCTGTGTGCTGTCCCTCAGCTCTTCAGCTCAAGGCTAGTACTCTATCACTTGAACCACAGTGCCACTTCTGGATTTTTTTTTCTGCTTATGTGGTGCTGAGGAATCGAACCTGGGACCTCATGCATGCAAGGCAAGTGCTCTACCACTAAGCCACCTTCCCAGCCCAACCAATACTGGCTGGCTTCAAATGGCAATCCTCAGATCTCAACCTCCTGAGTAGCTAGGATTACAGGTGTGAGCCACCAGCACCCAGCCTCTGTAGTTTTAAAGCACACTTGTCCCAGCCTCGTAGTTTTACTGCTGGTCCTTTGCAAACATGAGTTGTATATTCAGTCACTTGAGACAAAGGCCCCTCTCTAGTGGGGTTTACATGCTATTGGAGGGTAGTAAGTAATAAACAGTGCTCATCATGGCCAGGAAAGTCATATAGAGTGCCAGTAGATGACAGGTCTATAAAAATAAGTGCAACAGGATATGAGGAGTCAAAGGCTGAGGCAGGAGGATAGGGAGGTCAAAGCCAGCTTGGGTACATAACAAGGCCTTGTCTTAAAACAATACATTATAAAGGAGGTCCTACCTGTCCCAAAAGGAGCTTGGAGTGTGGGATGATCCTTTAGAGTGACCTCTCATTAACACAGAGCAGAGCCTTTCTAGCACAGGATGTCTGGTTGACCAATCATTGTAGCTCAGCCTTGAGGGGACTAACTCCCTTTGGCCAGCCACCAGGCCCAGGGAGTCTTGGATTGAGAGGTGTCAGTAGGCAGCCCTTCTGGCACCAGTGGTACTTTGTACTGTGACCCCAGACAGTTCACAACACCCAAGCTGTCAGCATGCGTGTATACTCCAGGTCTAGAGCACTACATGGAACTGTGTGTGTGTACTGTTTCTTCCTGAAATGAATCACAAGAAATAGAGTTCTTACTTTAGGGGAAAAAGGGGGAGGGGAGGGTTGAGAGGGGAGACAGGTCTAGTTCAAATCTCTCTCTCTCTCTCTCTCTCTCTCATTTGGTGGTAATTGCACTGAAGTTTGAATCCAGGACTTGCTCTTGCTGGACAGGCATCCTTCCACTTTAGCCACACCTCTAGCCCTTGTTTATTTTAGTGTTGTTTTTCTACAAGTAGGGTCTTGCTTTTGCCTGGCATTATGCTTAGACCATGATCTTCCTATCTGCACCTCCTGCAGTTGGCATTACAAGTTTATTCCCCCATCCACCTTTATGAAAACAAGGTGCCACTATGTAGTCCAGGCTGGCCTTGAATTTATGGTCTCCTGCCTCAGCCTCCTATGTGCCAGGATTATACGTGTCTGCCACCATGCTCAGCTACTTAAAGATTTGTTTGTTTTTTCAGTCCTGAGGTTTCATCTCAGAACCTCTTGTTCTTAGATGTCTAGCTCACCTGGTACTCTACCACTTGAGCCATGCCTCCATTCCCAACAACTTTTTTGTGGGCCGGGCGCTGGTGGCTCACGCCTGTAATCCTAGCTACTCAGGAGGCTGAGATCTGAGGATCGAGGTTCAAACCCAGCCCGGGCAGGAGAGACTGTGAGACTCCTATCTCCAATAAACCACCAGAAAACCGGAAGTGGCGCTGTAGCTCAAGTGGTAGAGCGCTCACCTTGAGCTGGAGAGCTGAGGGACAGCGCCCAGGCCCAGAGTTCAAGCCCCACGACCGACCAAAAAAAAAAAAAGAATTCAAGACCCAACAACTTTTTTGTGGTACTGAGATTTGAACTTAGGACTTTGTACTTGCTATGTAGATGTTCTATCACTTATGCCTTCAGCCCCTTTAAGCCTTTAAAATAAAGCCCCAAGCACTCTATTTTGAAAGTTCATACTGTATTAGATATATCAAAGTATACCCACACTCTCATTAAGTATTATTTATGTACATATATATATAACTATATATATAATTATATGAGTGAAATTCATTTGGGTGATACCATATTTGAGTACATAGGTGTAAATATTAATTAACCTCAAATTTGAACCTTTTTTCCTTGCCTTAGAAGCCTATTATAATGTTTTTAAGACTTAATTTTTCCTTTTTTCTTATAAACTCTATTGTCAATTATGTCACTAGATGCTATCTACATAGAAAGAGGTCTGTCTACTGTCTGCTGTGTTTGTTTCTGTAATTTTTGGATTTGTAAATGTTATATGTTCATTTCATCATCATCATCATCATCACTACTACTACTATTATTGTCTTACCAGTTCTGGGGCTTGACCTCAGGGCCTGGACCCTGTATATGAGGGTTTTTTGCTCAAGGCTAGAGCTCTACCACTTGAGGCACAGCTCCACTTCCAGCTTTTTTGGTGGCTAATTGGAGGTAAGAGTCTGATGCCTGGGCTGGCTTCAAACCATGATCATCAAATCTCAGCCACTAGGATTACAAGCGTGAGCAACCAAGGCACAGCTTGTTTTTACTTATTTTTGAGCACATGCAAAGATGCAAAACATCTTTTTCTCTAATTGTTGGAACACATTATCTGGGGAAAGGGACCCACCCAGATCAAAGGTGACAGTGACTGTATGTATTATTTCCTTCTCTGAGCACTAGATGTCAGACTAAGTAAAGTTTTAGAGTTACTCTTCAAAGTAGGGTGTGGCAGTGACTAAGCCTTAGCTATGAAAGCTTACAGCTTATACATAAACGAAAGCTTAACTTTATATTTCTAGTAGAATATATTAAAAAGTGCGGAAAAGTGCATGCTAGCAATGAATCATCAACTCAGGGTTTTTGGTGCTGATTCTGAGCTTTTTTTCCCCTCAACACTGTGATCTTCCACTTGAGCCAAAGCTTCACTTTATAGTGGTTAATTGGAGATGAGTCTCAGGGACTTTCCTGCCCAGGCTGGCTTTGAACCATGATCCTCAGATCTCAGCTTCCTGAGTAGCTAGGGTTACAGCATGAGCCACTGGTGCCTGACTAAGAAGTCCTTTGACTAGCTAAAATATTATTAAAAGAATTATTAGTCAGAAAATAAAGTTGGAACTATCATCATGTCTGTTAAACAGATCCATCCTACACATAGGCACCTGCAAAGACTTTTTCCTTCCAGAAATGAAATGATGTTTTGGGAGGCAGATTGTGTGCACATACCCATGATCATCTATACGCTGAGATGGCAAGCAGCTGTTCTTTCCTGCAGAAAGAACCAGACAAGACTGGAGAAGGTGGGAGGCAGTAACGAACATGAGGTTAATTAAGCCCTAAAATGGTACTGGTAAGGACCTGTGTTACCTCTCTTCTGTGGCTTTCAGAAGAAGATTGAGCATCTGCATCTCCTATCCTCCTAAAACTCATTTATGCCTTGATTCTGGCTCTTGGGAATCTAGAAGAGGATTTTAGGTTGAGATTCAGATGTAGTCTTCTTTTGGAAAATACATGTGTTTAAACAAATGTGAAGGGACCACATATCTAAGTGAATTAGATGATTACATTCTATGACGCAAATGTGTTACTGAAACCTCAGTTAAGTTTTTACGGAAGCTAGAAACCCTTAATTGAAGTTTGGAGTTTAGTGGTTCAAATCAAAACTTTGTTTTAGAAGTTTACTTTTTTCAAGTCACTCCATAATGAGCTTGAACAGTATCTGCATAGGAGGAGAGATATAGTTCTATTTGTGATTAAGGCTGTAAATGATATTTGTTAGTTTTCAAGGTTTTCTTGGTCATGTACAGTGACAGGTGTTTTCCACTGGATGTAGTTGGTGAACATCAGTACTTTGCTTGTGTGCAGTTTTCTCTAATAAAATACTATTCTTTGAACTTGGAATTCATCCCTGTTTTTCTCATTCAGGAGATGGGTGCCAGATCAACTGGTAATTCAAACAGTAGTTTCTAATTCCAGATGGTTCTCTTTACTCTAAAACCCTACTGTGACTTGCATCCGCCCCCCCCTCTGCCCCATCCCATCCTTTGAATTAACTTCAGCTTTGTGTTTTAACAATCTGAGGTCCCTAGAGAAATCTTTCCTTTTTTTTTTTTTCTCCCTTGAGACCATAAGGGTGGTTGAGCTGTGAGGGAAGCAACCCAGGCTGTTTAGCAGTCAAGCAGCCATGAAGGCCCAGGAACTCAGAAAGGCCTCAGCTCATCCTGGGGAGGCAGGGAGGAAGGATGCCTCCAGAACAAAATAGGAACAAGCCCATCTCCCCCTTTTGCAGGTACCAGGGTTTAAATTCCTGGCCTATCTCTCTGTGTATGCTAGGTTAGAGCTCTACCACCTGCGCCATGCCTCCAGTCCTACTTTGTGCTGATTGCCCAGACTGGGTTTGAATTACAATCCTCTGTATCTTAGCTCCCTTAGCATCTAGGATTACAGGTGGAACCCACTGGCATTCAGCAAATCCATTTCTCTCTGAAGTCAAGCGTTGGGTTTTGTTCAGTGCAGGTGGCAAAGTTATTTCTGTATTCACTAATAGAATTGCCCACTGTGCCAGGTTCTCAGGAATCATACCCATTTGGATGGAGGTACAGCCTTCAGCCTGAATTGGAATGTTACTGTGTAACATCCCTTGTCAGAGCTTTTGGGTAACCTTCCTGGTTTTTCCCACTGACCTTTCTGATTTGGGGATATCAGCTCAAGACCCTTTGAGATGATGAATTTCTGGCTGGAATTCTCAGTCCTCCTACTTCAGCCTCTCAAGTGCTCGGATTACAGGCATGAAATACTATCCTCCACTGTATATTTTATTTCTCTACAGGTCATGGATTGACAGCAGTCAAGGAGAAAGCAGGAGCCACCCTACGGATTCACAGCAGCAATTCTGGATCTTCTGAAGGAGTACAACCTAACACTGAATGTGAGTGATGGCTGAGCGTGGGCTGCATGGGCTTTATTGCATTGTGTGCACAGTTAGAATGTTCCAAAGTCCAGGTCAGCAACAATCCTCTAACAGGATTGTTTTCTCTCCACAGCTACAGATGAGATCCCCGAGCAGGAGCCAACAGGGAGCGCCCCCACCTCCCCTTCATCAGGTTCAGGGTCTCGGGGCATGCTCTCAACCCTCACCAACGTGGTTCAGAACACGGTGAGTCCTGGCGACTTCCACTGTTTTTGTTTGTGTGAAGTTTCCATCTACCAGTGACCCAGTTACATCAGAGAAAAGGCAGCTTTGCTCATGGCTCTGCCCTATGACTTTGCTGTGCTTTCAGCTACAGTACAGGGGAACCCATGGATCCAGCATAACAGGGGTAAAAGGAAATACAGCTTATGATTAAAAGCAAGCAGCTATCAGAAGATGCATTTCCAACCAAGTTTCTCCGAAGACTGCCTGTGGTTGGGGAAGGAAATCTTTGGCACAGCTTGCTTTCCTGGATGATCTTTCTTACTGCTCTTTTTTTTTCTTTTCTATTTTTTCTTTCTATTTTTTTATATATTTTTTGAAAGGCTTGCAATATAGACCCCAAGCTGGTCTCATACTCACTACATAGCCCAGGGTAACTGCAAACCTGGAATCCTCCTGTCTCAGCCTCTGGAGTGCTAGAAATAGAGACATACACCACCAGGCTCAGCTAGTCAGGAGGCTGAGATCTGTGCAAAAAAGTTCAGAGCTAGGCCAGGCAGGAAGGTCCGTAAGACTCTGAACTCCAGTTAATCAATAAGCCAGAAGTGGCTACGCTCAAGTGGTAGTGTGCCAGACTTGAGTAGAAAAAGCCATAGAAGAGCACAAAGCCTTGATTGTAAGCTCCAATGTATACGCAAACCAAGTGTGAATTACTGACACACTATCATCCCCCAAAATATGTGCTTTTAAAAACTTATTCGTGTGGGCTGGGAAGGTGGCTCAGTGGTAGAGCGCTTGCCTTGCATGCATGAGGCCCTGGGTTCGATTCCTCAGCACCACATAAGCAGAAAAAAAAGCCAGAAGTGGCACTGTGACTCAAGTGGTAAAGCTAGGCTAGCCTTGAGCTGAAGAGCTGAGGGACAGCACCCAGGCCCAGAGTTCAGGCCTACGACTGGACACAAAAACAAAAACAAACAAACAAAAAAAAACTTATTCGTTGGCTTGATTATTGGTTGGCTTCCAGATGAATATCAAAATGAAAATGAAGATGGCTAATAAAAATTAATTCAGAAAAGTTACTATTTGATAATTATGAAGATTAGGAAAATATATATAGATATAAAAATATTTTTTTCACATGAAATGGGGAAAGTATGGATATGACAGTTGTACAGTTGGTATGTGTACTGAAGAAGTGTGTGTGTGTGTGTGTGTGTGTGTGTGTGTGTGTGTGTGCGCGTGAGTGCACACGTCAGTCCTGGGGCTTGAACTCAGGGTCTATACACACTGTTCTTGACCTCCTTTTGCTCAAGGCTAGCACTCTACTTGAGCCATAGCTCCACTTCCAGCTTTTTTGTGGCTAATTGGAGATAAGAGTCTCATAGACTTTCCTTCCTAGGCTTACTTTGCACCTCTCTCCTCAGATTTCAGCCTCCTTGAGTAGATAGGACTAAAGTGGAAAAGTTTAAAAAAATGTGGTTTTATTCATATAAGTAATTTATGTAAATACTGATTGTTTTAATTTTCTTAAAAGGAAAATAATGGCTGACAAAGGTATTTTCGGGTGATAACTGATTAATAGTTTCCCAAATTGGAAGTTCATGAAAATCAAGCTGTCTTATCATTAATATGTTAATTATATATGTTTCAGAATGTATTCATAAGTCATCCGAAACAGCCTGAGGCTCTTATACTCCAGGGCCCAAGATTAAAGAACTCCTAAAAATGGCAAGAGTATTTGACATTTTAATAAACTGCTCCAAATAATTCTGCTACTTGGGTTAAAATTCCTTTAAGACAAAATAGCAGTTCATTTTATGTCTTACATACATACATTTCTATTTATATGCTCAGAACCAGTAAAATTAATCTCTAATGTGTTTTCGTGTTTTTTTTCCTAAGCATTTTTTAAAATAATACTTCATGCCCTACAAATTATATAACATGATTTTTCAAGGAAAAGAAAATAGGATTAAATGGATGATAAATCTCCCAATGGGGAAAAGTGGTGGCTTTATATTGATTTTAATATTTGAAGATAATGCCAGTTACCTAGGATTTGCTGAGTGCTGCAGAATAGCAAATTGTGAAAAATAATCTGATCTCATTGGCAGGGCAAGAGCGTCCTCACTGGAGGTCTTGATGCTCTGGAGTTCATAGGCAAGAAAACCATGAACGTCCTTGCAGAAAGTGACCCTGGATTTAAGCGGACCAAGACGCTTATGGCGAGAACCGCTTCCTTGTCCCAGGTTTGCTTTTACAACTTTTTCTTTTCAGTTAACAAAGTAAATAAGCTTTTATTTACCTTTTTGAGTAGATCATTAAAGCATGTACTCACATTCAAATGGGATTTCTCAGAGAAGACTTTGTACTTGCACTTTTGAGTAATGTTGGAGCAATTAGACTTTGGGGACTCTTGGAGATGGACCATGTTGGATTATTAGCTTCCCATGAGCCTTTGGGGGACCATGAGTAGAATGTTATAATTTGAACATGAACTCTCTGCAAGCTCATAGGTAGAATGTTTAGTACTCAGGTGGTAGCACTTTGGGGGCGGTGGTGGAAACCTTAGGAAGTGGGCTTTAGGTCTGTGTTTGTCCCTAGCTCCTTTCTCTCTACTTCCTGTCTGCCAGGAGGTGAACAGCCTTCTCCTCCATGCACTGAGGCTTTGCCTCAGGCCATGTGAGCATACACTGAAGACTCTGAAACTGACAGCAAAACAATTTTCTTTTTTAATGAAAAGTCAAATGGCACAAAAATAGATGAGAGCAAAACCTAAGGTGCTGATACCCCCCTTTCTCCCAGTCACTTAATGTCCCATGGGAGACAGTGACTTAACAGTTTCTTATGCATGCTGTTAGTTATCATCTAGTTATAGGTACAAATGGACACAGCTGTGTATAAACATATAGAACATATAGATATACCTGTCTGTGTGGATAGATCATGTAATAGAGAGATACAACAGAGATATTGTATATCTGATTCATAATTACATATGCTGCAATACATATAGATAGGTATATACATGCACACACATACTTTTTCAATTAAATGATAACATACTAATCATACTGTCTTATACTTTGTTTTATTCATTTAATAATGTCTTTGGCATCTTTCCATTTGTGCTCACCTGAGCATCATAACTCATAGGGCTTACCAACTCTGGGCCACCATAACTCTATTGACTTGACCTCTTTCCAAATAGTGCTTTTCATTCATTCATTCATTCAGCAAATGCATTTGAATATCTGCCTTGTGTCAGACACTGTCTTTCAGAAGCCATAATGGATAAGAATTCCTGTCCTTGAAGAAGTTTTGTTCTAGAGAGGAAAGATGGCCGATCAATCAACATTATCGAGAAGATGAGTGCTGTGGGGAGAAAGAACATGAGGCAGAAACGAAGGGATCTGCAGTGTGGGAGGGAAAGTAGTAAGCAGCTTGGGAGGAAGTTCATGGAAATGATGACATTTGAGCAAATACTTGAAGGAAGTGATAGTGTTGACTATGCAGACACCTGTGTAAAGCACATTCCGGGCAGAGGCAGGAGAGTCTGGTACGAACATGGATCAGCAAAGATGCCACATGGTGAGAGATGAGTGAGCTAGGAATTATTGAAGATGAGGATAATGTTAATGGAACCCAGGCAATGGCAGATCATGGGGGATATTTATAAGACGCTTGAGTTTTACTGTTAGTGGAACAGCATTTGGAAGAGGAGGAGTGATAGGAACCAATTTGTGGAGCAGAAAGATCACTGTAGTTACCATCATGAAAATAGACTGGAAGAAGGAAGGCCAGGGAGGCCATATTAGAGTATGAATCAGTTTGTCCTCCTGGAAGCTGTTGCTGTGAACTAAGCAAGAGATAAGGGTGGCTCAGAACAGAACTTTGTGGAGGCCCTGCAAGTACCTGGTTGCAACACAGTTTGAAAATAGATCCAGGCTTGCTTGCTGATGAAATGATTATGGGCTGTGACAGGAAGGAGCATCAAGATGGCTCCAAGGTCCCTTCAGAGCAGCTAGAAGGATGGAGATGGCATCAACTAAGATAAGAAAGTCCACTATGGGAATTTCATCAGGCTTCTGTGTCTGTGACAAAACACCTGGTGTAAACAACTTACAAGGAGGGATTGTTTATTTTGGCTCATGGTTTCAGTTCATGGTCATCTGATACCATTGCTTTGGGACCCTATCACAACATCATGGTGGTGTAACAACTCTGCTCACCTCATAGCAGCCAAGAAACAGAGAGAGAGAGAGAGAGGAAGCGGCCAGGATCTCAATATCTCCTCCCTCTAAGTCCTACCTTCTGAAGGTCCCCCTCCCCCCCAGTAGCACTACAGGCTGATGGCCATGGCTTTGACACCAGTGCTTTTAGTGCTCACTCAAATCCATTGCAGGAATCTATGACCATAAAATCAGATCTGTTCATACGTGTACTACCCAAGTTTCTTGTTTTCTATCCTAACAGCACAGGGAACTTTTTTTTTTTTTGAGAAACACGCGTTCAGGATGGTTTTCAAATAACTGATTTAAATTTCCATAGCATCTTCCTGTCAGGAATTCTCCCACTCCAGAATCCCTCCCTGCTACTTCAGCCCATCTCCATTTTATCTCCAGAGGGCAATGGAGCCAGCATCCTTTGGCAAGGAGATTATTCTCCAGGTAGCTCTGATTCCATGCTCCACTTTCAAATGAAGCCTAATTACACTTTTCATTCCATCTCTTCTCTCTGTCCAAAAGTACACATTCAGAGAGGGAAGCTGGTGTGGGGAAAGGCAGCAGCCTCCATTATTTCCCCATCACCACGCCTTGAGATTAGCGCAGTAGTTGAGTTTCATTACATATGTTCAGTCGTTCTGGTGACAGTTTTATTTAGTTGTTTTGAGAAAACCTAGAAATTGAGAGTCTGTACTAATTTAGTCTTAAACATAGACAAGAGAGACAATTCTTTCCATAGCCCAGTGGGTTCTTGGCTAGCAATCTCAAGAACCCCAGAGAAGAATAAGGCTGATTGTTTTGCTGGCACACGAAAAACACCAGCCTCTGTTCTTGGATGATCTTCCCCATGACCTTCTGGTATTGCCCAGGGTATTTAAAGTCTCACCACGGATATTAAAGGACCCTATAAACTTTATGCTCTAGTAAACTTAATGAGAAATCACATAAAGGATGCTTACAAGCCAAAAAAGCAAGTACAGAAAATTGAGAGTGACTGATTGACTTGCATTCCTTTTGTTGCCTTTTTATTTAAATAATGGGAGGGGTATAGCACAAGGGTAGAGTATTACTGAGCATACAAAATTAAAAATGGAATATCATGTAAAAATTATCAATAGCATCCATCAAAACTTTGCGGAAGGGCTGGGAAGATGGCTCAGTGGTAGAGCGCTTGCCTTGCATGCCTGAGGCCCTGGGTTCAATTCCTCAGTACCACGTAAGCAAAAAGAAAAAAGCCGGAAGTGGTGCTGTGGCTCAAGTGGTAGAGCGCTAGCCTTGAGCTGAAGAGCTGAGGGACAGTGCCCAAGCCCAGAGTTCAGGCCCCACAACCGGACAAAAAAAAAAAAAAACTTTGCGGAAATTTGGGGTTGGGGGTTAGAGGCTTGGTTCAGTTGATAGAGCCCCACCAATGAGCAAAAGCATTAGGCACCAAGTTCAAGTCCCATTCTGAGACCTAAAAGAAAAACAATTCCAGAAATCCCAAAGTAACAAAAATCTAACCTTTCCCAGACACGAAGTCAGTTATTTCCATTGTCCCCAAGTCTTACATAGGAAGCTGTGTGTGCACGTACGCCAGTCCTTAGGCTTGAATTCAGTGCCTGAGCACTGCCTCTCAGCTTCTTTTGATCAAGGCTAGCACTCTACCACTTGAGCCATAGCTCTACTTCTGAACTTTTTGGTAGTTTTATTGGAGATAAGTATCTCAGGAACTTTCCTGCCTAGGCTGGCTTTGAACCACAATCCCCAGATCTCAGCCTCCTGAGTAGGTAGAATTACAGGCATGAGTCACCAGAGCCCATCATGGAAAGGGGCTTTTAAGCATACATCTGGTGAATAAATGTTGCATGTTTCTGCAGATGTTAAGGGAGGCCAAGGAGAAGGAAAAGCAGAGACTGGCACAGCAGCTCAGCGTGGAGAGGACCGCCCACTATGGGATGCTGTTTGATGAATATCAAGGTTTGTCACACCTGGAAGCCCTGGAAATTCTGTCCAATGAAAGCGAAAGCAAGGTACATAGCTCTAGTCACTTCAATGACATGTTTAATGGTGTGTTTCCTTACACAGGAGAGGAAAACCAACAACAGAGTTCATTCCTAGAGTCTCATATGGTCAAATGGTCGAATGCTGTATGTACATACTGATGACTCCTCCAGCTGTCCATAGTTCCCTTGATCCATGCAAAGCTATTACCCCAGCCCAAGGCCAGGAGTCAGCACAGTAAGAGTGGCCACTCTCTACTTCCACATGGTGTAATAGGCTGTTCTAAAATGGGGCTGTCACACTGCTGACTCTCTGCACGCCCCCCCGCCCCGTTGGTGATGTATTCTGTCCCACAGCTTCATTGCTGCCTGCTAGAAACAGAGCAGCTGATGCTTCTTTTAGACCATGGAGCTTTAGTATATTTTGTTATATGGATTATATTGCTATTATATATTGCTATATATTCAGCATCTTGTTGAAATACCTGGGTAGTAAAAAGCAGCATTGCCCTACTGAAAATTAGTTTTATTTGGGAAGGAAAGCCCAGCCTTGTTTGGTAGCCCTGCTCATTCACGGCCATTGACAGCACCTTCTAGCTGTGAACTCAGATGGTGGAAGGGGCCAGCTCTGTGGGTTTCTTGTTCCATTTGTTTGTTTGTTTGTTTGTTTTTGGTGCTGGTCCTAGGGCTTGAACTCAGGGTAAGGGCACTGTCCCTGAGCTCTTTTATTCAATGCTAGCTCTCTACTACCTGAGCCATATCTCCACGTCTGGTGTTTTGGTGGTTCATTGAAGAGTCTCACAGACTTTCCTGCCTAGGCTGGCTTCAAACCAAGATCTTCAGATAACTACCTCTTGCATAGCTAGGATTACAGGCACCCAGCTTTTGTGTGTTTCTTTTGCAAGGGCACTGATCTCAGTGATGAGGCTCCCTGCTCAAGACCCATTTGCCTCCAAAAACTCTACCTCTAAAAACCACTTCCTTGGTGATTAAGCAACCCCAGAGAGTAAAGAATGAATAGCAGAAGCCAGATGATTTCGATGACGTTTTCCTTAAAGGGTCTACAGAAGTGTGTGTGTGTGTGTGTGTGTGTGTGTGTGTGTGTGTGTGTGTATTTAACAAGCATTTATATGGCACTTTTCTCATTTACCTGTGTATAATTGTCATCCTGACTCCACTCTGGGCTGATTTTCCAATAGAGGGAACCCTCTGCACATGCTGCCAGAGGGGCCGTGACCATCCTGGTGACACTCTAGGGAGAGCTACGAAGGTGAACTTAGAAATGAGCCACAGAATGCAAAACTAACTTTTGATTCTGCCTGAGCTTTATCTTCTTACATTTAGATTTTGGGGAGATTGAGCCATTTTTGATGGCTACTTAGGCAGGAAAGGTCACCTCTGATCATAACACACAGCTAGGTGCCAGACAGAACAGAGACCCCTTCCAAGCCCCAGAATTTTGAGCAACACATTACTATCTGTGTAGGTCCTTTTTGTGTGTGGATAACAGTCCTGCGCTTTTTTGCTCGGCTAGCAGTCTACCACATGAACAACAGCTCTACTTCCAGCTTTTGGTGGTTAATTGGAAATAAGAGTTTCACAGAGCCAGGCACCAGTGGCTTACTCCTGTAATCCTAGCTACTTATAGGAGACTGAGATTTCAAGCTAGCCCAGGCAGGAAAGTACATGAGACTCCTATCTCCAGTTAATCACAGAAAAAGCCAGAAGTGCCACTGTGGTGAAAGTGGTAGAGTGCTAGGCTTAAGCAAAAGGAGGTCAGAGACAGAGCCTAGGCCCAGAGTTTAAGCCCTAGGACTGGCACCAAAAAAAGTCTCATTGACTTTTTATTGCCCAGGCTGGCTTTGAACTACAATCCCCAAATTTCAGCCTCCTGAGTAGCTAAGATCACAGGCGTAGATCACTGGTGCCAGGTTATATATCTGCCCTTTATTGTTAGCCATGACCTTCAGTGATTACCTTGTGGTCAAAACTTCAAGCACATCATTCTCCCCAAAACGATGAAAAATGAGCATGTATTAATTAATTCATTTCATTAATTAAATGAGAAAAACAGACTGAAGTTATCACCAGTTCAAAGGAAATGCCTGAGAAACTTTCTATGAATTAAGGGAAAGCTGAGGTGAGTGTGTAGCTGGACCCAGGCATGGTTTCTCCACAGCCCTCCCAGAATTTATTCTAGTGCCTGTGGAAGAGACTGAATTTGCATTGCCATTAGCTATCTACAGTTTACACAGCTGTGTGTATACTTTCTAATCTGTGTGCCCATAGATTTAGAAATCCATAATCCAGGAAAGGGCATCCTAAAAATGCATTTTTTCCACAGAAACACAAATTTTTCATTGCAAATCTGGGGATGGAATCAGACTTGGTGTTATTTTATATTATTCTGTAGCAGTTTAAATTTGGACCCCTTTGGCCTCAATCTTCTTATCTAGGATATAGGAATAAAACTAAAGCCTTTCTCATAGGATTATTGTAAGCATTCAAAAGACTTCAAAGGAAACTAGTAGTAGCATACCTACTATATATTAAGCACTCAATAAGTATTAGCTAATATACATAAAATATATTATGAATACATTTTAGGTGTATTTATGCATTGGATTTTTTGTTACTATTAAAATACTACAGAGAACATATGTAAAACTACAAGATTCCTGATAATAGAAAGAGATTCCATTCTGATTGGTATCATCAAAAAAGTCTCCCCTAAACTGGCTAGGCTTATGTCCATAATCCCAGCCACTGAGAGGCAAAAATTAGGAGGATCAAGTTTCCAGGGCAGTTCAAACAAAAAGTTAAGTAGGCCCCATGTCAGCAAACAAAACCAGGTATGGTGGGTTCATAACCTCAGCTATGCAATAAGCAAGGTAAGTAGAATCATGGTTTAAAGTCAGCCACAGACAAAAGCATGAGTCCCTATCAGAAAAGCAACCTAAAGTAAAAAGAGATGGATGTGTGGCTCAAGTGGTAGAACTCTTATTTAGCGAAGTACAAGATCCCAAGTTCAAATGCCAGTACCACCAAATAAGAAAGATCTCAGCTATGAGACAGCTCTAAGCCCCTGAAAAGAGTCACCTAGGATGTACAATGCTGGAGAGCAATCTAGTCCTTGGAGAGTGTGTTAGCTAGCTTTCCAGTAGTGTAACAAATACCAATGAAAATCAAGTTATAAAGAGAAAAGGTTATTGTAGTCTGTGGTTTCACAGGTTCCAGTCCAGGATCCATTGACCCTGTTGCTTTAAGGCCGATCACAAGGCAGCACCTCATGGCAGGAGTAGACATAGAACAAAACCACTCGCCCATATCTAGGAAATGAAAACGGGAAAGAGGAAGAAGCCAGGGTCCCACAGTCCGCTTCAGCACCTTCATCTGAAGACCTCCTGCTAGGCCTCATCTCCTGATGGTTCCACAGCTCCCCGTATCCCCAAGTTGGGGACTAAGCCTTTAACACGTGGGCCTTTGGGGGACATTGCAGATACATACTAAAATAGAAGCACAGTTCCTCTGCGCAATGCTTCCACAAGCTCTGATTTCTTTCCCTACTTTGGAGCTTTTTTTATGGTATTCACAGAAAGGAATACAGAACAGTTAACAAAAAAAAAAAAAAAAACCCTGATAGTGACAGTTACTAGATACTGCAACAAAAGCCCTAAAAATATATGAATAAAAACCAGAAGTTATTTTTCCCTCCCGTGACAGTGCAGGGTAGGGGTGCCTGGCCAGCAGGCAGCTTTCCAGCTCTGCACTCCGGAGCCAGACTCTATCCATCTGTAGCTCAGCTAGATCTATCCTAAGTACTCAGGCCTCTGACAAGAATACAAATGGAGAACCAAACTAGGGCTGCCAAGTGCAGCAAATAAAAATGCAGGATGATTGTTGTAGAGATCTTCTGTAGTTGGGAGCCATGTTTGTGTATTTCAAATCACTACAAGGTTAGAGTTTACATATACAAATGATAAATACATGAGGTAATGGGTATGTATATTAATATGATTGATTCATCCCACAATGCAAACACCTATCAAAACATCACACTAGATAACTAGTTAAATTTAACCTTTGAGCTAGGCAACAGTGGCCCATGCTTGCAATCTTAGCTACTCAGGAAGCTGAGATCTGAGTATCATGGTTTGAAGCTAGCCCAGACAGATAAATCTGAGAGACTTTTATATGACTTAAGTAAAAAGCCAGAAGTGGAAGTATGGTTTGAGTGCCAGCCTTCAATGAAAAAGATAAGTAAGAGTGCAAGGCTCTGAGGTCAACCCCCAGTACTGATCTAAAATTATATATGTGTATGTGTTTCTGTGTCAGTGTCTGTGTGTATATACATGTGTGTACAGATATATACATATATATGGATCCATATATATTTATATATATATATACACACATGTATATATATGGATCCATATATATGGATATATATATACATGGATATATGGATATCCTACACAGATGTACGGATTCAGTGTACATCTCCAAGCCCTCAGGGGATGAATTTGGAGGGAGACACATGGAGCTGCATTCTGTGCTCTGTATGCTCTGTATTGTATACTCCATTGGTCAGGGAAGAAGTGGTTGTGAGCCATCAAGCAATGCTCACTCACTTCTGTCTGCTGAACTCAGTCACTAATGGGCTGTGTGTTGATATCTTCCTGCTGAGCTTCCGCCCAGAGCCTCAGGCAGGTGCATTGCATGAGTAATGTGCATTACCTTTCAGGAGAACAGAGCCTGGTGTCCTGGACACCCTGTCTCCCTGTCAGTGTTACCCTGGTGAGCTAACTATGAGCATAAATATGGGAGCAGATTGCAGAGGACTGGAGCTTCTGGCTAGTGCTCCCTCCATAGAACCTGGGCTGGCCTAGGCTACTTAGGGAGTTTGCAGAATGACAAAAGATAGTCCTACCCATTTACAGACATATTTTATTTTTGCTATGATAGTCATGCCCTTTGACCATTGTGGAAATTCAGATTTCTTTTCAGAGGATGACAGCCCATTTGCCCTTGATTTTGAAGTGTTGACAGAGGGCAATTTCAAAAGAGGTTCTGAAAACCATGAGCAGAAGGGACATCACCTCCTCTGTAAAGCCCCTCCCTGTGTACCCTCTTGCAGTTCCCCAGGGATGGAGCAACTGCTCCTTTCTTGGGGCCTCCATGGTGCCCTTCACTCAGAACTATTATGCTGTGACTGATTGGCATAGCCCTCTCATCCTAGGGAGATCTTAGGGACTGATGGCAAACACAGAATAACTCACATCTAGCAAGTATACATGTGACTCTATATAACACTTAGGTATTTACTACCCATGTAAACATATATACATGCATATAATTAATTGAACATCCTTATGAATATTTTAAGTAAATTTTCTTTAAGTAAATGTTTTTGTGTGTATGCTGGTATTAGGGCTTGAACTCAGGGCCTGGTCTTTTTTCTGTTTTTTTTGCTCAAGGCTGGTACTTTACCACTTGAATCACAGCTCCACTTCCAGTTTTTTGATGGTTAACTGGAGATAGGAGTCTCACAGACTTTCATGCCTGGGCTGGCTTTGAACTATGATCTCAGATCTTAGCATTCTAATTAGCTAGGATTACAAGCATGGGCCACTAAGACCTGGCTTAAATAAATTATTAAATTCAGTCCTCAGAACAACCTTATACAATAAATGCACTATTCAAGAAAGGAAACTGAGGCATAGAAATGCTAAATAACGTTTCCATGTCTATAAGGTTCTTGTAGATTTTCCTTCCCATGCTGGCTTTGAGCTGAGATCCTCAGATCTCAGCATCCTGAGTAACTAGGATTATAGGCATGAGCCACCGATGCCTGGCCCAGAGTGAGTTTTTAAGCATGATTGAAGAGCTGCCTCCACCCTTTATTTAGCATCGACTATGCACACTTTCTACACCTACTATACACAAAGGATCACAATAAAGTATGGATTTTGCTTTAGGACTGGGAAAATTGGCCTGGTGTGGTGGCACACACCTGTAATCTTAATATTCTGGGGCACAGGTTGGCCTAGACTACTTAGGGGTTCCAGGACAGTCCGAGTTATGTGGAAAGAACCTGTCTCCAAAACAAAACAAAACAAAAGGCCCAGGTTGCTTTTATAATCTGCCCGAAGCTGCAATTTATATAAAGTCAGCATTAAGCACAACAGTACCTCCCATTCCACAGTGTCATCGGGGTCTGGATGTTGGGGAAAACTGGAGGCTGCTGCATGTAAACATTATTAATGAGAAGAAAAGACGGCAGTTTTGCTGACCTAGATCTTTTATTTCAGGTTCAGTCATTTTTAGCATCACTGGATGGAGAGAAGCTGGAATTCCTAAAAAATGACCTAATTTCCATTAAAGATATCTTTGCAACAAAAGAATTAGAAAACGAAGAGAACCAAGAAGAGCAAGGTAAAGGAAAACAGCTAGCTAAATATTACTGGCATGAAACTGCTGTTCATCAACCCAGCCCTTCGGACATGGTGGCATTATTTAATCCAAGTGCTCCTCCTGCGTGCTTCCACAATACCCTGCGTGCCTGTGCTGTGCTTACAGGAGCTGTCTGAGGTGATTTATGACCCTCGCTCTCCCTGGGCAGGAACTCCTCTTCTTTCTCTGTCCTGCCCAGTCCCTGGCACATCACAGGCAGGCACAAATTCATACAGTTGAATGAGCAAAAGCACAGTCTACTGGGTCCTAAATGACTGCAGCTTTGTGTACCATCGTCTCAATTTATCTGCATGTGGAAGTTGCTTCATGTGATTAATGGTGATGCTGGGTGAGTCCTACAATGGATTTCTTTGCAAAAGTGTCTCTTCCCTTATGGCAGCAGCGGGGCTTGAACTCAGAGTCTTGTACTCTTGCTTAGCTTTTTATGCTCAAGGTTGGTGCTCTACTGCTTGAGCTATTCTTCCACTTCTGGCTTTGGGTGGTTAATTGGAGATAAGAGTCTCACAGACTTTTCCTGTGTAGTCTGGCTTTGAACGGCAATCCTCAGATTGCAGTTAGAATTCCAGGCACAAGCCATTTGCTTTCATCTATTTTTCGTGTGTGTGTGTGTGTGTGTGTGTGTGTGTGTGGTGTGTGTGTGTGTGTGTGTGTGTGAGAATGAGTTTGGGTGTATTTATAAATGTGATATACTTCACCTAAAAAGTCTAGTTCTAAGACTAGGGCAGAGTGCTTACCAATTATGTATAATACCCTGGGTTCAATCCTCACCACCACCAATAAAAGAAAAAGGAAAGCATTGTTCTGACAAAGACTATACCATTTTCCCACAGTGCACAAAAAATGCTTCAGGTTGACACTCACTAGAGTGATGAAGTGCACATGTCCTGATTATCTTCCCAAGAATGACTTGACCCATCTCCCCAACAAGAGCAGAAACTATTTTAAGAAATGCAAGATTCCTTATGAGGGGAAAAGATGTGTGCAGCATGGATTGCACTTTACCCCACTTTGAGCCACAGTGCCATTTCTGGTTTTTTGGTGGTTAATTGGAATTAAGAGTCTCATGGACTTTACTGCCCCAGCTGGCTTCAAACCATGATCCTCAGATCTCAGCCTCCTGAGTAGTTAGGATTACAAGGATGAGCTGCCCAGCTGGAATAACTTCTTACTGAGGTCATAGCAAGCCCTATACCACAGGAGTTTGGGATAGGCTGTGCTGAAAATCCTAGCAACTGCAGACACAAGGCCATCTTCTCTTAGGAATGCAGGAAACGCCCCTTGCTCCTCCCCCTCCCCAGGCCTCTGAGCATAGCCTCTCTTGCTGTATGGCTGTGAACAAGTTATAGAATTTCTGAAACTCAGTATCTTCCTCTATATTATGAAAATAATGATGTGCATCCCCAAAGGTGAAATTAGATAGCATTGTAAAAACATGTGTTACAGTGCCTCACACACTAAACTTCTCAGAAATGTTAGCTGTTTATTATTTAGAGTATTATTGCTGTGCCAGGAAAATGGAAATCTGTGGTACTTATTTACTATTGGACATGCTATGGCCATCATGCAAGAATCATGGTAATGTGTGTTCACTCTCCAGTCACTGGAAGTGTTTTGTGGCCAAGAATGTTACACACCTGTAATCAAAGCTCAAACACAAGTGTTCAAATGTTTGGGTCTTGATGCTCAGAGCAAAATTATTCTAAGCATTTATAAACACAGCTTCCCTTTTAGACCTAGTTATTGATCTTGTATGCCTTCCCCTTAATAAGATTTGTGCACTTTGCATTAAGATACAAGAATCAGTTATACTGAAGCATAGAAAGAAGTCAGTATAATGATTTTCAGTATAAGTATGTTTCTACAAAAGTCACAAAAGACAACAACCTTGTCTGTTATTGTTCATGAAGAAATTAAAATACTAATTGTCCAGAGGGCCTGAAGTTTTCATTAGGAACCCAAGATAAGATAGTCAGCCTTCCCTTCTCAACCAAAACAATCAGGCATTCCTCTTAAGTGTCATGATGCTTGAGGTAAACCTGTTTCCTCTGAAGTGTCCATCAGAAAGGATAAAAAGAACTCCTACATTCCCTGTGACCCTAAAGACCTACTACAGATGATGTATTAGAGCTCTGTAAGTTGAAATTAAAAAAAAACCTCAAATACACAACCAACTGGTGATGGCTTATACCTGTAGTCCTAGCTACTTATTAGAAGGCTGAGATCTGAGAATCATAGTTCAAAGCCAGCCTGGACAGAAAAAGTCCATGAGACTCTTACTGCTAATTAACCAAGAAAAAGACCAGACTTAAGGAGCAGCTCAAGTGGTAGAATGCCAATCAAGTAAAACCTGTGTTCAAGTCCGATATAGCATACACACACACACACACACACACACATTGAAGTGCTCAACATCATGATTTAAGAATGATAGATTTTCTCTTTAAGTGTCAAACTCTATTATCTCCCATATGTCCTTTTTTTCTTAGAGTATTTCCAGATTGTCAAAACACTATTAATTTTAATTAATATGGTTTAATAAGTAAATGTCACTTAGACAATGAAATACTGGAAGAAAAGAACAGGGATCCTGTCATTAAATCAACCCAGTTTGAGGGAGAGTTAAGGCTCCAGGAAGATTGGTGAGTTGTCCCAAAGCTGCGGAAAAGAATCTTATCATTAGGATGAGCAGTAAAATCCAGGAGCAAGATTCTAGGAGAAATCAGAATTTCCATCATATGTTTTTTTCTTGTAGGTACATAGATTCCTAAAAGCCTCTAACAACTAAATAATTTATTTGGTAGTCTCAGAAAGTGTAATAAAGTCATTTTTAGATAAATTTATTATCAAGTTCCTGTGCATTGACGAATGTTAGCAAATGGTAACTTTTTCATCCTGCTGTGGCTCTCTAAGTTGGTTTACCTGACTGCAAGGAGATTTTTTAAGACATTTTCTACTTTTATTGCCTTGGGGAAGACCTCAGTCATATGTACAGAATCCTCGAGAGTTGCAGTAATGATTTCTGTTGCAACATTTTACTATCATCTATTTCCATCTACTCCCAGTTTTCTTTGCAATTTGTTTTGCCTAAATTATTTACTAGAAGTTATTCACTTATGTTTTATAGCATCAAACACACATTTTATTTGTTTGTACCATCCTAGAGCTTAATCTCAGGAACTGAGGTGCTGTCCCTCAGGGCTCTTTTGGTTGTTGTGGGTTTTTTGTTTTGTTTTGTTTTTTTGGTTTTTTGGGGGTTTTTTGCTGAAGACTAGAGCTCTACCACTTGAGCCACAATTCCACTTCTAGATTTTTGGTGGTTAATTGCAGATAAAGAGTCTCACAGACTTTCCTGTCCAGGCTAGCTTTGAACCGTGAGCCTCAGCCTCCCGAATAGCTAAGATTACAAGTATGAGCCACCAGTACCCAACAAAACACACATTTTAAAGCCTAAACTCGTGTCTAAGTTAGTGCCAATTCCTAAATGTACTTAATCTTCCTGTTTCTATCCGTGTAATTTATTTACATAATATTTCCACATTTATAAAGCAGTGCAGTGTTTGTTGAAATATTTTGTCCTCATGCGATCTTTAAAGAGGAGATGGGTAGATTTTATTACCCTCAATTTGCAGCGTAGGGTGTGGAATCAGATGGAGCCTGAGGTTGCGAGCCACATTAGCTGCCTGAGCCGCGGTGGGACCCGCACTTAGTCAGGATTCCTTCTGGTCTGCAGCACTGTCTCATGTAGGACAAAAATGACCAGGCTGTTTCCTAATGAGACCTTGTTGATGCTGTTCCTGTGTGCCTGTCCGTCCTCTCATCTTCCCACATGAGGATGAGCAACACCTCCCGCCTGCAGCTCTACCCTCTCTTCCTGTGTGTGGATAAGAAAATCTCTTTCTCAGAGCCTGTATTCCAACATCACCTCCTTCAGGAAGGCTTCTGAACCCCCTCCTGAGAATTAGATTAGTTCCCTAAAAGCCCCTGAAATCGCAGCACTTATCTCTATGGGTAAAAACGGGGCTCATTTTGGATTTGTCATAAGCCAACAAGTCATCTCTAACCCAAGGCACACGCCTCCCTCTCTTTCCTGCCGCCGCACTTGGTTCTTCTTAGTCCCCTAAACTTGCCAGCCACAGCCACACTCCCTCCTGGGCCTTCCTCTCACTGTGCTACTTCTGGAAGACTCCTTCCCCTCACAGCTAACTCTTGGCCGCCCTTCTCCAGGTCATTACTAAATTTCACCTTCTTTAGCTTTCCTCCTATCTTGACCTGTTCAGGCTATTATAACAAACCAGCATACACTATGTGGCTTCTAAACAACAGTGGATTCGTTCTCACAGTTAAGGAGGATGTGAAATCTAAGACCAAGTGCTGGCAGATCCATTGTCTACCGAGTGCCTGCCTGCCTGTGGTCATTAACAGCGCCCTCTAGCTGTGAACTCAAATAGTAGAAGAGGCCTGCAAGGGCACTAATCTCATTGTTGAGGGCTCCGTGCTTATGACTCAGTCACCTACCCCCAAAAACCCATCTCCTGAAACAATCTTCTTGGTGAATAGGAAGAACACTGACATACAGACCTATTTAAAATTCCTAAGCCCCAGCTATACTGATTCTATCCCTTGACTTACACTTCTCCATAAAACTTACTACTTGATTACTTGACATGTATGCTTTACCTACCCTTTTTGCTTATTAACCTGTTTCCTTTATGAGAAAAGGTAAGTTACAGGTAATAAACTGATCTAAGTCAAATGTTTTGAAGAAAGATATACAAAGCACCCTCATGAGCTGCCAATATTGTTATCGAAACAACTGAAACTAACCTATCTTGTGCTGTATTTCTCACAAGGCTTAGCGATACCTCACTTCTTGCTCCCAACCAACATTTGCTTCTCAGGGCCATGTGAATGGCTTGATTAATTATTATTCCCCCCCAGATAGGGTAATGAGCCCACTATGAAATCAGCTCTTCAGCGATACAGAAACTTTTAAAATGGAATTACCATTTAGATTACCATTCTAGATGTGAATGCAAGAAATAAGATTGTAGCTTTTAAAGATCTCTGTTGTTAATGATTTTTTTATTTTATAATACTTATTAATATGTATTATATAATTTAACAAATTATTGATTCCATAAATATTCACTTTATCACCTCGTAGGTTCCAGGCCCTGTGTGGGTGGTCTGAATTTAGAAATGAGCCACATAAAAGCTGTCTCTGTCCGTAGGTAGCTTCTAGTCTGAAAAGAAGACAGCTCATTAAGGAGTATTGCCGGACCAGTCAGGTATCCTAGAAACCTTGGGAAGTTTCTCCAGAGAGATGATGTTGTTCAGTCAGATGGGATGCACCCCACTGAGACCAATTCTGTGTGCTCAGTATTGTGTCTCTGTGGACACAGAAGGGTACCCTGGGACTCATCGGGGTGTGATGAATCACTACGAATCATAAACAGACTCTGGGTCATAAATAAAATGGTCCATGTATCAGCAGCCGGGCAGAGGTGTTTTGTTGGTTTTTTTTTTCATTCAGTCATTAAGCAAACATCTACTAGCCACTGATAGCTGTGAAAAAGACAAACTTCCTCCTGCCCTCTTGTTAACCCAGTCCAGCCTTAGAGGATCTGCAACCAAGCCTCAGCTCTCACCCCTCACCCAGCTACTACATGCACACCTCTCTGTTTTACTGGCATTGGCCAACATCCCTCATCACTAGTAGCTAGAGGGCAGACTGACACAGCCCCCTTCGTCTACCCCCCTGCAGCCTAGAAAATTGGGGGCAGCTGCCATATTCTGAAGGATGGAAAATAAATCATGCTTCTTATTTCTATTGTGTTCTATTTCTAGGCTTAGAAGAAAAGGGAGACGAATTTGCTAGCATGCTTACAGAGCTTCTCTTTGAATTACATGTTGCAGCCACGCCTGACAAGCTCAATAAGGTCAGCACCATCTGATTGTGACTCTTTGGTTTTAAAAAGGGCTGAGAGGTAGGACCTCCTACCATGTAAAACTCTAGAGATCCAGGTGAAACAGAAAACCCCAGTCCCTGTATGGCACAGGGAAGAAAGTAATTAAGATTTGAGGAGGCAACATAATGACATGCCTTGCTAGAGAATATTCAAGACAGTCATGAGACTTGCCCCTTGCAATTTTACTGGTAATTACATTGTGACCTTGAACGAGTCACTTATCTGCTCATGGCAAAATAAAATGTTCTGTCCGAGTAGCTGTTATCTTTGGCACAGGGAAGGAAGAGGGGTAAAGAGTCAGCAAGGGATTTTTTTAAATCCTCTCACCAAGCCTTTTAAGGAAATATACCAGAATTAAGCAGAGAGAAAGAGACAGAAGAGAAAATATGAGAGGAGAAGAGGGGGAGAGAGGAAGGAAAGGGGGAGGGAGAGAAGAATGAAGGGAGGGAGAGAGGGAGAGAAAAAGTAACAATTAGGTGAACCATACCTCTCCCATCTGGGCTACTACAGCTATATCATGTCTGAGAACATTCCAGCATTAACAGTCTATTTCTCTAATAGTACCACAGTATGTTTTGTAAGCTAGTATAAGGTCTTTCTGTGGGATTTCTTTTTTTAATATATATATATTTTGTCTTGCAAAGATACTGTACAGAGGGATTATAGTTTCATGAGTAAGGTAATGAGTACATTTCCTATCAAGCATTGTTACCCCCTCCTTTGTTTTTCCCCTACCATCCCTTCCATCCCCACCTCCCCACCTCCTCCCCGCCCCCAAGTTGTAAAGCTTGGTTTTCAACATAGTGTCTTGTACATCTCATTGTTACAATGGGTCAACCGTATCCTTATTTTCAGCATTTTGTTATTTCCCTTCCCCTCCCCAAATTAGAACAATGTACATACAAGATACGGGCACCAGAATCAGATACAGTGAAAACAGGGGTTATACCTTGGGGGAAGAATACACAAAAGAAACAAAAAAATCACATAATACATTATAAACACATTAAAAACAACAGCAAGAAAGATAAAACCTCATTTCGCTTAGCATCATCTTATATGGTCATATGTACGTAGCTTTTGACCTTTTCTGCTTGTCCTAGACATATACTAGTTATTGCAAATAAGGGAAACCATGGGACCTATGTTTCTTTGGGCCTGGCTTACTTCACTTAATATAATTTTTTCCAAGTCTTTCCATTTCCTAACAAATGGAGCAATGTCATTCTTTCTGATGGAAGCATAAAATATATATATATATATATACACACACACACACACACACACATTTTCTTGATCCATTCATCTACTGAGGGGTATCTGGGTTGGTTCAATGTCTTAACTATGGTGAATAATTCTGTGATAAACATAGTTGTTCTGGCACCTTTCGTATGGCCTTGTTTGTGATCGTGGGATCACAATCCCACAATTGTGGGATTGCTGTGTCATAGGGGAGCTCTATGTGGAGTCTTTTGAGGAACCTCCATACTCCTTTCCAAAGTGGTTGAACAAGTTTATACTCTTGCTGTGAAATTTCTTTTTATTTTTAATTGTGAAAATATCATATAGAAGGGTTACAATTACATGGACAAGGAAATGAGGACATTTCTTATCAAGCATTGTTGCCTCCTCCTTTGTTTCCCGTCCCATACCTTCCCACCCCACCCCTGTGCCGCGACCCCCCCCCAAAGTTGTAAAGTTCATTTTTGACATAACAACTTCTACATCTCATTGTTGCAGTGGGTTCACCTGTATCCCTATTTAAACAATTTGTTTCTTCCCTTCCCCTCCACAAAGTATACCAACATCAAATACAGTGAAAACAGGGGTTATACCATGGGGGAGGGATATACAAAGCAACAAAGAAATAATCTTATAAATATGTTAGAAACAATTGCAAGAAAGAAAAACCATTTGAATCCTTATCTTGGGGTTCATTTCGCCCAACATCAACTTATCTGACCTTTCTGCTTGTCTCAGATATATACTAGTTATTGCAAATAAGGGAAACCATGGGACCTATGTTTCTTTGGGCCTGGCTTACTTCACTTAATATAATTTTTTTCCAAGTCTTTCCATTTCCTAACAAATGGGGCAATGTCATTCTTTCTGATGGAGGCATAGAATTCCATTGTGTATATATACAACATTTTCTTTTCTTTTTTTTCTTTTTTATTGGGGGGGTGTCCGGTCGTGGGGCCTGAACTCTGGGCCTGGGCGCTGTCCCTCAGCTCTTCAGCTCAAGGTGAGTGTTCTACCACTTGAGTCACAGCGCCACTTCCGGCCTTTTTTTTTTCTGCTTATGTGGTGCTGAGGAATTGAACCCAGGGCCTCATGCATGCAAGGCAAGCACTCTACCACTGAGCCACCTTCCCAGCCCCCACATTTTCTTGATCCATTCATCTACTGAGGGGCATCTGGGTTGGTTCCATATCTTAGCTATGGTAAATAAGGCTGCAATAAACATAGTCGTGCTGGTAGCTTTAGTGTGGTCTTGTTTGTAAACATTTAGGTAAATGCCCAAAAGTGGGATTGCTGGGTCACAAGGGAGCTCTATGTGGAGTCTTTTGAGGAACCTCCATACTACTTTCCAAAGTGGTTGAACAAGTTTACACTCCCACCAACAATGCAGTAAGGTTCCCTTCTGTCTACATCCCCTCCAGCATCTGTTGTTATTAGATGATTATAGCCATTCTAACTGGGGTGAGGTGGTATCTCAATGTTGTTTGCTGTGGGATTTCTTAAGAGGACACTGATCATTCCTTTATCTCAGCAGTGTGATATCCTTTTCTTTCTCCCCTCCTTCTTTTAGCCTTTCAATTTCTTAGCCACAGTGTTTTACACAGCCCTCACCAATGTGGGTGAGGACAGGGCAGAGTGAGCTTCGAGGTGGTGAGATGAGTGATTTCTTTCTCTTTCTAGGGGTCATTGATGCTGGTGGGTCAGTGACTTGAACACAGTGGGAAATTGCCTAATCCATCTCCCTGCAGCATCTGCCAATGCTGGGAGGGCCCCGGGTGGCTGCATGGTTGCAGTGGTTTATTTACAATACTTAGAGTCAACCTTTATCCCTGAAGAAGACACACCAAGCACAGCTTTGTTTCCATGTGCCACTCAACATTCTGATATGTTCAACTTTAAATCGTGTTGGCATAAGCCAATAAATACTTTTTACCTTAGCAAGGGACTTAAGCAACCTGATAAAAATCTGGATAAGGCTGCCCTTTTAGATGCAAGAAACGATATTGAGGCAAGATTGTTTCTACATCTTTAACTAAGTCATGATTTTGAAGCCAGGGGTTGCTTACATTGCGCTCTTGTGAGGCTAAACTAGTCCCAGAGCAGCCTCAGGCCTATTCCAGCCACTTCCCTCCCCGTGGAGCCTGGAAGACCTGCCATGAATCAGGAAGAGCAGAACCATCTTTCATCTCCCCAGCTTGATATGTTATTAGGCTTCTGAAACCTGATAAGTTTCGAGGAAATTGGCTTTAGCTATGGTCCTGGCTAAATTTCCAGCTCATAAAGGAAAAAGTACCTGTTCTTTTTTTTATATACTTGCCATGAAAAGTGAAAAGTATACTGTAGATTTTTCAGTGTAACAGACATTTTTATTCTTATCTGCATATCATACTTTTTTAGAAGTACACACGGGTTGGGAAGGTGGCCCAGTGGTAGAATGCTTGCCTTGCATGCATGAGGCCCTGGGTTTGATTCCTCAGCACCACATAAGCAGAAAAAGCCAGAAGTAGCACTATGGCTCAAGTGGTAAGTGCTAGTCTTGAGCTGAAGAGCTCAGGGACAGTGCCCAGGCCCAGACCCAGGCCCAGAGTTCAGGCCCCACAACCAACTGAAAAAAAAAAGAGTACAAAGGTCCAGCTGGGTGTAGTGGTTCATGCCTGTAATCCTAGTTACTTAGAAGGTTGAAATAGGGAGGATCACAGTTTGTGGCCAACCTGGGGAAAAGTTTACAAGATCTTGTGAAAACATAAAATGAAAAAGCTATTATCCCAGCTGCGTAGAAAGCATAAATAAGAATATCACAATCCAAGCCAGGCACTGGTGGCTCACATCTATAATCCTAGCTAGGAGGCTAAGATCTGAGGATCACAATTCAAAGCCAGCACAGGTAGGAAAGTCAGTGAAACTCTTATCTCCAATTAACCACCTGAAAACCAGAAGTGGTGCTGTGGCTCAAGTGGTAAGTGCTAGCCTTGAGATAAATAGCTTAGTGACAGTGCCTAGCCGGAGTTCAAGCCCCAGGACAGACCAAAAAAAAAATCACAATCCAACCAGCCTGGATAAAAAGTGAGATCTTATCTAAAAAATAACCATAGCAAAAAGTGCTAGAGCATATATGGCTCAAGTGGTAGAGTGCCTCCCTAGCAAGCTCAAAACCCTAAGTTCAAACCCCAGTACTGGAAAAAAAGTCTCAGGCCTGGCAAGACGTTCTGCAACTTTCTACTCTGTTCCCCTTTCTTGTTATATTATTTTATTATTTAGAGAATGCCGCTTTATTTCTGTAATCAAGTCTATGTAGGCAGATTAAATGTTAACATGTATATACTAAATATATATGCATATATTTAATACACTGTGTTACTCCTACACAAATGGAAAAAATTAAGTGTCTAGACCAATTTGGCTATTATTTTTTGTACAACATGATAAATTGAGATACTTTTTCCAAGTTGACAGCACAAATAAAATTTTCAAATATTCAAATTTTACATATATATGGTATTTATATGAAAAGACAAATAATAGTAGTATGCTATGCATCAATAGCAGAAACTAGTTTATGGGTGTTTTTTTAAACAAACAATAGTTGATTATATTATGTTTAAGAAGGTTGAGGTATGGTCCTATCTCTTCTTAAACATAGAGTCGCCCCTTGCTGGAGGTTCTAAGCTGGGGGTTGGAATGACTTTGATTTTATGCTCCCGCAATGACTGGATTGCTTGGTTGGGGGCCATTGCAGGCCATGAAGAAAGCTCATGATTGGGTAGAAGAGGATCAAACCATGGCCCCTGTGGATATGACCAAGGAATCAGAAGAGGTGACTGAGAAGGATGAAAAGGAAGAAAAAGCTGAAGACCCTCAAGAAGAGAAAAGAGAAGAAAAGAAAACCAAAACTATAGAGGTAAGTTCATTCTGGATTGTCCACAGGAAGGATAATAATCTTTTATTAATTTTATTGGCAGCCTAATTTTAGTGAGGAGGATTTCTTTTTTATTTCTAAGCTGTCCTACATAAAAATAATTAGGAATCTAATAAACACTAAAATTTCTGTATGCTGAGACAATTTATAAATCAGAATAGATTATTGTAGCTTTTCTCCATAGCTTAACAAGTATAATTTAAACGAAGAAAGATCTCTTTAAGAACACAATTGATTTACATTTAGGGTAAGTATCCATCTTATATGCAAATTTTTATTATATAATGTCTTTATACTCCATAACTAACAATGTAATTGAAGGGTTTTTTTCAAAACTCATTTCTGTGCTTTTTATTCTATACTTTAATAAAATTTATATATGCACACTTTATGTCCTGCCCATATTCAAAAAAATAGCTTGCAATATATGTACCTTATGTTGAACTTAAATTTTAAAGCAAGTAGCTAAGTTAGGTAATTCTAAGGAAAAAAATGCTGAAGGAGTCTCTCATTCCACCTCCTTTCCACATACCTCAGTTAGCACCTGCCTCTTGTGAACTCATCATTGCTCTGAGTTCAGGAGACCCACCATGAATAAACAGGCACGTCACCTCCCTGGGAACCCAGAAAAAGTCTTAGACTGCCCATAATCTTGGTATAAACTTTTGTACATTATGCATTTTTACGAAGGATTCAATCATTTAAGTGCTAAGGATGAAGTTCAGTGGTAGAGTGTGTACTTAGCATGTGACAAGGGCCCAAGGTCAATCCCCAGCAGAAGAGAGAATTATATCATTTTTTAATATCTGCTCAGTGAATAATTCTCTGGTATTGATTCAGGAAGTATACATGTTGTCCATTGAAAGTCTGGCTGAAGTAACTGCGCGCTGTATTGAGCAACTTCATAAAGTCGCAGAATTAATTCTTCATGGACAAGAAGAAGAGAAACCAGCCCAGGACCAAGCAAAAGTCCTGATAAAGTAAATGCCACTTTTTATTCTTCATTTTTCAATTATAGATGTGTGTGTGTATTGTGTGTGTGTGTGTGTGTGTGTTTGTGTGCACACTATATATCCTAAGCAACTAAATAGCCAGATTCTGTGTCAACCAAACCGTTTGTCCCATTGTCACCTTAAGAAATACTCACTTAAAAATTCCTTATATAGGAAGAAGAAGCTGAGTAGGAAGAGAAAAAAGAAAGAGAAAGGAAATTAAGGAGGAAGGGGGGAGGATAGAGAAGGAGGAGGAAGAAGAACAAGAATTAACTAGGTACTTCAGGAATTCTTTATAAGGAAATTTAAGAGAAAGCATAGTAAATCATTCAGAACTTCAAAAGTGCTTATTTTAGTAGATCAAAGTCTTGGAAGTAAAGGCCTTTTAGAGTAGTTCTATGTTCCACATTGCACACAGAGAAGAACACTCTAATGTAACTACTCAGCTAGCTTCACAAAATAGACAAGGGCACTTCCAGTTCCCAGGAAGTTGTGGCAGCTCTGAACAGTGATGGTGGCTAATGTAAACCACTGCCCTGTGGGTTGTATTATGTCTCTGTTATAATAGTTTATGCTCTTTCACAAAGACTTGCTATGATTATTAGCTTAGCAGAAATAAGTACATATATATAGATACCCACCTGTACTAGCACATAATGATGGTTGACATGCAGTTGAAAAAATAATACACATGTGTAATTTAACATAAGGTAAAGTTATTACAAAGTACCTTTTGGAACATTGGCAGGATTTAAAGTACACATGTTTATGCATATGACTGTGTACTATAGCATAGAAAATTAACACATGTCCCAAATGCCTTCTCATTATTAAAACACAAACCAAAGTAAGCCCCTTGAAAACATATAGAAACACACAAACATACACACATACCTCAATATTTTTGCTCATTTTACCAGCTAGGTAAGCTTTACTTATTACTTACTGTGTTTGATAGAACAGGAAGGACATTTTTAGTTGAAGGACCTCCACAAAGTTAATGACTTGGTGCTGGTAGCATTTTTCTCAGTGATAAAGATTTGTCTGCTAGTCTAAATATTTGTATCGAAACATGTAGCAATAAAAGATATTTTAAGAAGTACATATTGTGGGTGTGTATGGGAGGGAAAGACTGGGAGAGAGCGAAGGAAGGGGTAACATTTTCCAAAAAGAAATGTACTCTTTACCTGACTTATGTAACTGTAACCCCTTTGTACATTACCTTTATAATCGTAATAAATTTTAAAAGGTACTCCCACAAAATAGATTAATATAGAGAGAAAAAAGTACATAATCACCCCCCTGTAATACTCCTAGAAAGATGTGTACTTGCTCAAAATATAGAACAAAGAAAGGACAAAACAAGAAAGTTTAAAATATTGAGGAGAATATCTGGTGATTATGTTATCTTTGAAGGAGAGCTGAAGTTATCGACCCTGAGTGTAGAGAGGAGGACTTCTTTCTTAGCTCTTTTCTGATTGTCAGCCCTGATTGCCCCACCTTTCCCAAGCTGCCCAGGCCCCTGAGGGCTCTAGCGTAAGTGCCCCTCCACCGCCTACTCAAAAATGTAGACAGATGGCTCTAGGCTGTCTCCTTGCCTTATTTTTGATGCTTTCTGCAGACAAGGTCAGACGGACAGATGCCACAGTGTAGCTCATCAGACCTGAAAACATAGGACTGAGTGTGTAATGCAGCAGTAGAGCACTTGCCTACCATGTGTGAGTCTATAGATTTGATCCACGCATGTGGGTATGTGCACACACGCACACACACAGGCAGACAAGAGGGAGATGGAGAGATGGAAGGGGAGCGAGAGATCCACAAGTCTAACTACAACACCTGAATAATCAGACAGACAGACACATAGACACACACACACACACACACACACACACACATACCATGAATATGCAAGCTAGATGGGGCTCATGTTTATCAAAAAACTTCTCTCCTGATTTCACTAGATCTTTAAGCATTTAAGATTCTGAACTTAGAGTTATAGTTTTTTCAATAGCATTCTCACCAGTATTCATAAAAGCCATATACACTAATTGTTAAAAAATCAGACAGGACCCATATTGTCAGGTAATTTGATTTTTTAGCTTTTATCATCATCCACTATGTTAGGAAAACACTATTTCAACTGAACTTTTGTTTCTCTCTTACTTTGTTTTCTTAAGATAAAGTCCTACATGTGGAATGGGCAAAAACATTGAGATTCTTTGATATATCATAAAAACATATTCTATATGATCTTTATTTAGAGACCTATAGGAAACACATAATCAATAAAGGCACAGTGGAGGGCCAGACATAGTGGTGCACAACTGTCATCCCGATATTCAAGAGGCAGAAGTAGAAGGATTAAAATCCATGGTCAGCCCAAGCAGTTAGTAAAAAACTAAATTGAAAGCAAAAGGATCAGGGAAATGACTGAAGTGGTAGAGTGCTTGTCTAGCAAGTACAAGGTCTTAGTTCACTCCTAGTTAGAGAGAGAACAAGAGAGAGAGACCTGAGTTTAAAAAAATCCCACCTCTACTCCTAGTCAGGTTACTTCATCTATATAAAAGGAAAGCAATAATACAACCCACAAGATTACTGGAGGACTGAATATGACCAGGCAAACAAGTATACTTAACATAATGACTCATTGAGTATTCATTATTATAAAGTGATCCAAAAGCCAGAGACAGGTCACCTGGGAAAATTCTATTTTCTATAGATGTGGAGACCAGGCTTCGTATTTTCTGCATGCTGCTTGACCTCAAAAGAGGTCAAATGACTTAAATAGTTATCCTTTCATTAAACGTGGAGAGAATTCTCTTCTTTGGAAGCTTGTTAAGAACTGTTTGCTTGTTTATTTCTGTAGACTAGCTTTGAACTTACATGCTTGTATGAAATAATTCATTGATATCAGTAAGTACCATGCCAGTTACTTTACTGTATTGAAGCCTCCAAACTCTTAACTTATTTCAGATTGACTACTGCGATGTGCAATGAAGTAGCCTCGTTAACAAAGAAGTATACAAATGTCTTAACCACTACTGGGGTAAGATTTCCTCATAGCCCTACTTTCCTTTAGAAGGTGAAAAAATAGCAATATTTTAAAAAGCAGGGAGTGCAGCACCTTTTGGAGTAGCTCCATAAACAGAGCCTGTGCCATGCTATGGGCTGAATTCAACCAAAAGCACCGCCTGTACTATTGGGCAACTTGGGGCTTGCTATGCCCAGGTTCTATGCCCAAGTCTGCTGTCTCACAGATCTGAGATGTTGCACAGGAGATGAGACTTTTACCAGCCTTTTTTCTTGTTAAAAAATGTCAGCTGGACATTGGTGGCTCACACCTACAATCATAGCTAATCAGGAAACTGAGACGTGAGGATCGTAGTTCAAAGGCAGCCTGGGTAGAAAAGTTTGTGCGACTTTTAATTAAACACCAAATATCTGTAAGTGGAGAAAGCTTGAGTGAAAAAGCTAAGGGACAGCACCTATATTCTGAGTTCAAGCCCCAGTACTAGCATATTTTATGTAGCAAGTCTCTACTGGGTGAATGTATATCTAAACTTCTTTTTGTACATGCAAGTAGTGGGCTTGAACTCAGGGCCTTGAGGTCATACTTTTAGTTCCACTCAAGGCTGGTACTCTACCACTTGAGCCACACCTCCACTTCTGGATTTTTGCTGCTTAATTGGAAGTAAGAGGTTCATGAATTTGTCTGCCTAAGCTGTCTTCAAACCATGATCTTCAGGTCTCAGCCTCCAGAGTAGCTAAGATTACAGATGTGAACCACTGGCATTTGGCATTTGTTCTTGAACTTAACATGTGTGTAATATATACCCCTATGTACAAATGCTTGTGTTCACAAAGTCAGGAGCACATATGTTATCATTTGGGAGAAAGAATAAGCTGGGATTATTATGACAGAATTTACTGGAATGTCATCTAACCACAACAATGCCCCATCTTGGGCTGTGATGAATCATTTGTATCAAGTCATTGTTTCTGCTTTCTAAAACAGCCATTACTCATAACTTGAAGTTAATGAGTGTATATTGTTCTCCAGACTCAGTTTAAATTGCTTGCACATCTCATTGATTCTAAAAACCAATGCCATTTTATTGCCCTCATTTTGATTATATTTTAGAGGTTATTGATAATCAAATAAAAAGGAAAGCAACCATAATGGATTTTGTGGTTACATTCAAAAATTCTTGGGGTTTTTAAGGAGGATTTTTTTTCTCCCCAAGATTCCATTATGGTTTCTTCTGTGAGACATTACTTTATCCTCAGTAATGCCAATGAAAGTTGGCTGCTCTGGAAAGATCTATTTAATTTATATGCCTTTGTTTGCCACAAACTCTTTCAAGTACAGTACGGGAAATAAACATATTACAATTGTCTCCTCTCTCCAGGCCTTTTCATGATTTATTGTGTAAGAATAGGTTGTGCATGTTAGGATAGGAAAACTTGATTACAGACCAGTAGCACAAATGAGGATAATGATACATTCTCTCTCACTTTGTAAGGACCTGTTTATACTAAATTTTGTGTACTGTGCTTTGTATATATTTCATTTTTCAAATTGTATTAACACGATCTGTCTCTAGGTTGTATTTAAGGGTACTTTAATTTTGTTACCATTTTGGAAAATTCTGTATGTCCAACCAATCATGTTTGCAGGTAAAAGAAGAAAGAAAAGAAGAGTTGGATCTAAGGTAGATAAATGAAGGACCTAACCTACCTGTAAAATTTGAGGGAGACCAAAAAAGAAATTAGGAAATAAAAACCCCTCAAGAAGCTAGATAAGGTATCATAATGCGGTATATTTTAAACTGAGAAATGCAAAGATATAACAAACTATTTATCAAAGTTATTTTTCCTTTCTCACATTGTCTTTCTCCTTTTTTAATTTTTATTGTTATTGTAAAGGTGATGTACAGAGGATTACAATTACATAAGTCAAATAAGAGTACATTTCTTGTTTTGTTTTGTTGGTCGTGAGACTTGAACTCTGGGCCTGGGCACTGTCCCTGAGCTCTTCAGCTCAAGGTGAGCGCTCTACAACTTGAGCCACAGCACCATTTCTGGTTTTCTGATGGTTAATTGGAGATAAGAGTCTCATGGCTGGCTTTGAACCACAATCCTCAGATCTCTGCTTCCCGAGTAGCTAGGATTACAGGCTTGAGTCACCAGCACCCGGTGTACATTTCTTTTTTAACAATGTTGCCCCTTCCCTCACTCACAATTTTTTTCCTTCCATCCCCATCCACAAGTTATATAGCTCATTTTCAACATCGGGTCTAGTGACTATGACTACTGCATTTGTTTACTCTTTGTCCTACCATTTCTATAACCCCCTTACCCTCCCAAAGACAGATAAACAACAAGACAAAAGAAAATGAAAACAAAAACAGCAACAAAGAAAAAGAACCTCTTGTTTCTACTTTGTGGAGTTCATAAGATGTATGTGATCTCCTAAGAATATTCACCTTTAGTCTAATACTGTATGAACGCCTAGAGACCTGTATCATTTATCATGTCCCAGTGTATTTTATTTTATTCTTATTGAAAAGGTGAGGTACAGAGGGGTTACAGTTACATAAGTCAGGTATTGAGTACATTTCTTTTTGAACATTGTCACCCCCTCCCTCATAAAGCAGAATTTAATCCCATACTTGAACAACCAGGCTTAATCTCCCCCTATTCCTGCATCTGCTAAAAACTTTAGTTAAAATGAGCGTAATCTGAGTTTACAGTTATTACTCTGTGACCTTACACAAGTTTCTCAATCTTCCTAGTCTCCATTTTCTCATCTAGAAGTTAGAGTACAAAGCCTGCATTCTACTTCTCCCTTCCTCTCAAGGAGATCTTCATTGAAGCTGGTGTCTTACATTTTATGTGGCAAGCCTTAAGATACAAGTCCCTAATCTGCCAATTTCATTCATTTGATTCCACAGAGCAACAAGAAGGCTGAGGTCCTCAACCCCATGATCAATAGTGTATTGTTAGAGGTAAGTAGCCCCTGGGGAAAGGGGGCTTCTGAATCAAAGCAAATGTTACAGCTATATTTTTCCCTTCTCTGTCTTTCTTTCCAGTGTTATTTCCATCCTAAATCTTAGCATCAACAGTCTTTTTAGAGTACATTTGTGTGGCCGAACCAGCTGTAAACTCTCTGATGAAGCAACAATACCTAATTTACAAGAATCCCTGATTATAAAAAGAAATGCAAAGCTTGCATGTTATTTCTGATTCCTGCTGCCAGTCTTGCACTGGATTTAATAGTGATTATTGGCTGTGATGAGGGATTATTCCTTGAAGATGATTTCTGTAAATCAGGGCATTTCCCTCTGTTCACAATAACCTTTGGTCTTAGCTAGGTCTAAGCTCCAGAGTAGCAAAAATGACAAGTGAGAGGCGGGAATGGGGGAATAGGAACCAGACATGGCCCAGCCTGTAAGTTTAGCTACTGAGGAAAAAGAGATGGGGAAATCATGGTCCGATCAGCCTGGGTGAAAGTTAGGGAGATTCTTATCTCAAAAACAAGCCTGACGCAGTGGTTCATGCCCGTAGTCCCAGTTACTTGGAATGTGAAGGCAGGAGAATCCTAGTGTCAGACCCTATCCAGAACATGAAGTAAAAAAGCAGAAAGATTGGGTATATGGTTCAAATGGTAGAGCACTTGCCTAGCAAGCACAAGGCCCAGAGGTCAGTACCAAGTACCATGCCCCCCACACACACACGCATGCATACATGAGACACAAACATAGAATGCTTAGACTCTGGTCATTCATCACTCTCTGTGACTACAGACTGCATTACCCACTTGCTCAAAAGACCTTCATAACACCAACTGTACAGGTGTAAGGTTCCTGTAGCTCCTCTAAGAACAGTGAGAAGAGACCCAGGGTTCTTGTTCTGGAGCGCAGGCACTGGATGTCTCTGTGGTTGGTATGGGAAGTCATCAGTTAGGGGCCAAACAATAAGACAAGGACATATCTGAAGCTGATGTCACAAGATGTTCACAAGCTGAAGCGGAGCCTGGCCAGGGTATATGCAGTGGTTTGCTTTCTAACGTAGTTGTAAATAGCAGTCTCTGGAAATTATGACACTTGAGCAGGGCTGCCTGATTTGCAGTAATGTGTTTGCGGGACTATACCTTAGCACTAAGAAAAATACCAAGGTACAAAAATAACAGACGAAGCCGGGCACCGGTGGCTCACACCTGTAATCCTAGCTCCTCAGGAGGCTGAGATCTGAGGATCATGGTTCAAAGCCAGCCCGGAGAGGAAAGTCCATGAAACTCTTATCTCTAATAAACCACCAGAAAACCGGAAGTGGTGCTGTAGCTCAAATGGTAGAGTGCTAGCCTTGAGCTGAAGAGCTGAGGGACAGCGCTCAGGCCCAGAGTTCAAGGCCCACGACTGACAAAAACAAAAATAACAGACAAGAAGCACCATGGTTAGTGTTCAGGACACAGTCACTCAGTGGAATAGTTAGCTGTAGGGACAAGAACTTAGGGACAAGTCCAGAGGGACAGACACAGCTAAGAGGAAATACTGGCAGGCAGAGGTAGAATAGCAAACAGGAAAATCCTTCCCCTGGCCTCCCATCCATTCACCAATTAGCCATCACAAATTAGGAGGTCAACCCATGATTCATTCATTCCTCCAGTAGAAGTTTTTCATATGTTTTAGTTACCTGAAGTTTATTGTTTGTTTGTTTGTGATGCTGAAGATCAAACCCAGGGCCTCACACATACTAGGCTCACTGGGTTGGACCACTGGGTTGGACTGAGTGGATAGAGCTACCACCAGCTCTATCCTAAACTTTCAGTGGCCTCTCTGCGTTTTAGTATTGTTCGGGAGTATACCACAGAGCCCAAGTTGTAATATTGCATATCCAAGCCCAGCAGAAGGTACCAGCACCCCGTGCCATGACACAGGGTGTGATGGGTTGCCGTGTATGCTTCTGTACTAATCAAATCTACAACTAGCTTTGTGTAGACCACACTGCTTATTCAGCTATAGGTTAGAATATGACTATTTTTCTGCATGTTCTTGTGGGATTTTAGAGCAGCATGATTAAGGTTGGAAAGGAATAGATAATACTTGGCACACTAGGTCATCTATGGTATATGTACATATACATGTGTGTATAAAAATACAAACTCATGCCCCTTAAAAGCCCATGGGAATGATTTGCCTCATTTGCCTTATGAGTGAATTCTTCTCTCTGGTAATACAGACAATGAAGAGCTACGCATACTTCATTTAAAGAATGTGTTTATAGCTGGGCACTGGTGGGTCATGCCTATAATCATAGTTACTCAGGAGGCTGAGATCTGAGGATTCAGGTTTGAAGCCAGCCTAAGCAGGAAAGTCCATGAAATTCTTATCTCCAGTTAATGACCAAAAGCTGGAAACTGTAGTGGTTAAGCCAGTCTTGAACAAAAAATAGCTCAGGGACAGTGCTCAGGCCCTGAGTTCAAGCCCCAGGCTCAGCACAAACAAAATGTGTTTACATCTCTTGCCACTACAAGCATTACAGGAACTTCATGATGTTCCAGTTTGCTAATGTTTCCTCTCAGATGAAAGGGATCATTAGCCAGTTCAGAGATCTAGGGCCAAGTGTGTGGGTCATGTCTTTTATCTCAGCCAAGCAGAGATAGGAGGATTTCAGTCAGATGAGCACCAGGTTAAAAAAAAGCAAAAAGGGCTAGGAGCATGACACAAGGGGTAGATCACCTGCCAAGAAAGCATGAGGCCCTGAGTTCAAAAAAAAAAAAAAGGGAGAACCATAGGTTGATGTATGAAAATATTCCTTCAACTCCATTTGTTTCCCTCTTGCAGGGCTGCAATAGCACCACATATGTCCAGGATGCCTTCCAGCTGCTGCTGCCCGTGCTGCAAGTTTCCCACATTCACACTAGTTGTTTGAAAAGCACAGCCATGACCTTGACAGACTCTGTCTAGCTCAAGAGCATGGCCAGCCATCACTTTGCTCTGCACCGCGTAAGGAGAAGCTATCAGCTGAGCCTGCCAGACACTCGATGGAGGACAGACAGCAATTTTGCACAGATTTGCAAGTTTCAAGAAAGTTAGTGTTTCCTTTCATGTATATCGCCATTTTTAAAAACAGTTGTGTTTTCTTTATATTAATTTAAGTTAATACAGCTTAAATCTCTGAAATTTACCCACAAATATTTGAATCTATTTCCCTAGTCAGACATGCTATATTTAAAAATTCATAGGCAGACCCAAGATTTTTCATGAATTGCTTAAATTTCTATCTTTGAATGTCACATACTATCAAGTGTCTCTTTAATACTATTATTATGTGGAACTTTGTTGTGTTGCATAAATGTTATGGGTCAAAAATAACACTACTTAAATTTTTACCTATTACAGTGACAGAAGAATATAATTATTCCTTTATAAGTCATTCATTCTTTCAACAAGCATTTATTGCACACCTAATATATGCTTACATTAAAGGAATGTAATCTCACTCTAGAGAGATACATATTCTGAAAGAGGTTTTTACAACAATTCTTAAAATAATTATTTAAAGTACTATTAAATTGCCTAAATCTAAACATTTGGAGAACAAGGCAATCGGTGCTATAAATGGTCTACCTTCAGTTACTTAGGTTTCTACCCCCCTTGAACTTTTTTATCCCACACTTTGTATATAGGATAAAAATATATATGAAAGGGGTATTTTTAAAAGTAAGTAGCAGGTCACTACTGTAATCCTAGCTATTCAGGAGACTGAGATCTGAGCATCACAATTCAGTTCCAGTCTGGGCAGGAAAGTCACTGAGAATCTTATCTCCAATTAACCACCAAAAAGCCAAAATGGAGATGTGGTTCAAGTGATAGAGTCCCAGGCCTGAGCAAAAAAGCTTAAGGAGAGTGCTTAGGCACTGGTTTCAAGCCCCAGTATACACACACACACACACACACACACACACACACACACACACACACGGAAAAAAGATACAGTTTAAAGTACATTATGATACCATCTCAAAGCTTAGATACAGATATACATAGAGATTTAATAGAAAATTTAAAGTGTTTCAACACAATAATATCACAGGTCTGCATTTTAGAACTCTGCTGATAAGATCTCATTCACTGGAGGAAAATCACAGGAAATACTGAGATGAGAGTTGACTTAACTGATATGTTGATCCAGGGAGATTGTACCAAAGACCTTGCAGCTTGGAGGGGTCTGGGTGACCTGCATGTGCTCTGAGTTCCATGTGTGTGCTGAAGGTGGGGAGTTTGGGTGATGCTATTTCAGAGCCTCATTGACATCCCTACTGAAGTGTCAGAAGACATCTGTCCAGTGGCTCTCTCAGAGCAAAAGAAGCTTATAGCTTAGCAAGTGTGAGAAATCCTTTATTTCCTTGATAACCATCTGCATTTGTTCCCTACTGGTCAAGTAAGGATATTTTCATATCATCCTACTTTTATTAGCAATTCATTTATCTTTGGTTTTTGTATTTCATTTGTTGATCTGCTGGAACAGCAAAGTAGAACATTTGAAGAAACAATTTTATTTACAGCCTGGAAAAATAAAATTCTAAGAGAGCTCTGTTGAAGATGTTTTCTTCTCCTTTTCTGATTGCCTGAATTGTTTTAATAAATCTAGAGGTGGTTACCTGATGAATATATTACATTTACTTCTTTATAAATTTTTACAGTGTTTGTGGGTAGAACAAAGAAAGTGATTTAGATTACAAGAGATTTTTTTAAATATTTGTTTTGGTTTTAAGCACTAGATGGATTTAGATATTACATGGAAATGTAAAAGAAAATTTTCTTTTTGTTTTTTTGGCAGCACTGAGGAGTAAATTCAGGGCCTCAAGTTTGCTAGGTGTGCACTCTACCACTTCTGCTATGCTTTCAACCCTTTTGTATTTTTAAGTTATTTTTCAGGTAGGTATTGAGGTACTTTCATCCAGGGCCAACCTCAGACTATGATCCTCCTACCCACAGCCTCCCATGTAGCTGGTATACCGGGGAACACCACTACATCCAGCTTATGGCTTGATTGCTCTTGTTAACTTTTCATCTGGCCTGACTTTGAACTGAGAACTGCCTGATCTTCATTCACTGAATAGCTGTAATTATAGGCAAAAGCCATCTTGCCTGGCCTAAAACAAGTATTTACAAAGGAGCTAGAATCTTAGCATCCAGTTCTAACTGTACCCTTTTAGTGATATAATGCATAGAAGAAGAAAAAACCTTACGGTGCTGGGGATCCATCCCAAGAGTCTTGCATATGTTGGGTAAGTGCTCTACCCCTGAGCTACAGCTACAGCCCCTCACATTTTAATTATAAGATAAAATAGCAATCCTTATCTTTTATGATAGAATGTTAAAGGTTGCCCGTGAGAATAGACTGAGAGATGTTTCTCTGTTTGATGGTCTGTGAATTGCATTATTTAAGAATAACTCCTTAACAGATATTCACCCTTCAAGATTACTCTTTCAATATTAGATTTCCCCCTCACCTTGAAATCCTTGCTCTTTCTTTACTTTGCTTTAAAAGCCAACAAAGTACAGCCTCTGGATCTGGGTAAATGTCAATCAATTGCTGAATGAATGACTGAGCAAACTAGCTGTGGAGGTTTTTATTCCTTCAGTAATCCTTTACATAAACTGAGCTCATTGCACTCTATGCCATTACCCTGAACAAGCATGTCAGGTTTCTCTTACCTCTAGTGCAAAGTAAGTTCTAGTCTACATAATAATGAATGTAGCTCTATGTCTATGCTTTATTAAATAAAGTGTCCAAAGTATATTTCAAAGTAAAAATGCCTTCAAGTGAAATCGGGGAGGGGGTTGTTGTATTGATACTTGCAGATCTAAAGAGCAAAACTGAATCCCACATCTTAAAGCTTCCACCTACACTTAAATAATCCACACCACTGAGGACAGGATTCGTGGCTTTTTCTGGGTCTCACACTGGACTGTGCTTCAAGCTAAGAGTCCAGTGAATAGTTGAGGCAGGGATGAGGGCCCTGGGTCACACCCAGGGAAGGAACTGCACACCTTAGCTGCAGAAGCTTAAAGAGATGGGGACACCCTAGCTATCACAGGTGGAGGAAAGTGTGAGGGATCAGGGAGCAGCCTGAATGGAGGAGTCAAGGGAAAGCATTTCCTATGCGCTTGGTAGCAATCGGCTGCCCTAGAAAGCTACTTCTGTGCATGCTGGTCATGCTAAGCCTGTGTTAGAAATGAAAGCAGCAGATCTCATTGGCAGCCATCCCAGAGGTCCAGAATATAACAGCTAAGGGGAGCAATGGACAAAAATGTGAAATAGCCATTGCACTTCTTTCTTTAAATTAAAAACATGTGTGTATAAGTGTTCATGCGCACTGAACTTACGGGGCTGATCATAATGCATAACTTCAAATGGTATTTAATTTTATAACAGTAATTCTGCTGGGCAAAGCTAGCCTTTTTGTAATGTAAAAAAATGTCTCTTTGATCTTCCTCTTAAGCGTGTCCTACATTCTAATGTCCACTTGGTTTCCTATATCCCCGTGTTATAAAGGCTTATCAGAAGAGATCATCCTGGAAATCCATCTTAAAGCTGCAATTTTGCTCTGGTTTTCATAGTTGATTAGAATTAGTAATGCCATAGGAGCAGATTCAGACCAGCCATTCTTCACATAAAAGAAAACAAATGATGTGGTTAACCATGTGTTTTATTTTTCTAGATATCTCATCCCTTAGGCGGGTTTATGTTCATTTCTTGTATGTTCATCCATATTAGATGATCCATTGCAATGTCTGCTACTCAACAGTTCTACTCACTTTTCAATTTTCTATTTCACTGGAAATAATGAGTCCTTCTACCCTTTGAACACTTATCCTTTGGCAAGGATTGAATGATTCCAATCCAAACAGCAAGTAATGTGTGGAGAGCATCTCTGAAATTTCTGGTGTCTGGAATCATCATAGACTAGGTAGAACTGGAAGCTGGTTGTGGAAGGTTCGAATTTTGTGTTGAATTTCAACTAAATTTACCTTTGTCTTGATCAGAGAGGATTTTTCTTTGTCTCCTTATTTTTCTTTTTGAACTGTCAGCCAACAGGATTATGTCAGCCTGGAATTGCTGCCACTCACCTGACAAAGGAATTGTGACCTGCAAAAGAATACTGTATTTCTTAAATGCCTTCCCTGAGTAGAGCAATGTGGAGTGGTCCACTGTACTTCTTCCTCCCCACACTTGGCTTCACCACCAGGCTGCTCCATTGCTATTTGGAAGAAAAAGGCAGCATCCGTGCCAAGGCCAGATGGGTGAACCCTGGCAAAAAGCAAAGCTAAGCTTCCACTTTTGGGACTCTGCCATCTTTATCCTTTTTCTCTCAGGATTTTTTTTGACAGTCATTAAGTATCCAGCTTCCAGGATCCATTTTTTTTAAACAATGTGCCCCTTTCCCACTTCTCTTATATTTGTATTACTACTCTAGTCTCCTGTTTACTGGCAAACTTATCTATCCAGTGACATGTGCCTGGCTCTGAACTGAGTGCTTTCTCTGCTTGGTGCTATTTAAGCTGTGGTCACCCTCCCGGGTAGATTGGGTTATCATCTCTGCTGCTCATGAGCAGATGACCCAGAGAATAGTACAAGTGGCCCAGAGTTAACAACTAGTAACCACAGAGACAGGATTGAAACCCAGATCAGTTTGCCCTGACTAACCAGCCTTTTGTACTCTTCTACAGAGTTCTCCAACAAACGAGAAACATGTGTTATTTTTAGGTATCTGAATGCTTAGATTTCTAGGCTTAGCTTCTCTTGAAGCTGTGAGCTAGATTGTAGCTGCAAGCTTGTGCTGTCAGCTTTGGTTGTTTCCATGCAACTGAGAACACACTGGGACTAAGGAGACCCAGAATGAAGCCACATGAGGTTATTTGGCCCCTGGGTGGTTCTCACCAAAGCCTGCTCTATCATTTCACAGACATTTACATCAAGCAAAATCCCGGTCTTCAACAGCACAGCAACCTGTCTCACAGGTGCCTTTGAGAGCTAGACATCTCCATTGCCTGCCCCGCCCTGGTCTCTAGTGCCAGGAAAACCCATTTGTCATTGCTGAAAATCCTGAGCCCTCTGTCCCTTTCTGGAACACCAGGTTTTAAAATACTTTAAAGATTCCAGACTTGTCTACAAAGCCTTTCAACTGCGTCTTTAATACCAAGTGGTGTGAGATACTGAAAAATGTTTTAAAGAAGGGTTAACAGATACCTCCCTACTCCTGAGCTTTACTAGTTCCATGCTACACTCAGTAAAGGATGGTGATGATGATGATGATGATGATGTGATGATGATGACAGTGATGGTGGCATATGCTTCCATATCTAGTCCAAGCACTTTACCTCTTTATTTCATTTAATCTTCCCTATCAATCTTATAGCATTATTACTGTTATTTTGTCCATTTTACAGATAAAAAAAGTGTGGCTTAAAGAAATGAAATAATGTGCCCATGATAGCCTAACCAATCATTAGAAGAGCTGGGATTTCTACCTAGACAGTCTATAAATTACTAGATAGAGCCCATAGACAAGTGAATCTCTTGTCATAAATAGAAAATAAGTTTGTTTTTCTTTGGAATGAGAGAAATCTTCCAGCTAATAATCCAAGGCCTCCTCTCTCTCAATTCTGTTGCCTCTAGCAGACATAGATTGCTTCACAAATCTCCCTGTCAAGGAGCTTACCCAGGTTTTTCCTACCAGTAACTTT